GCACTCAGATCCTTCTGCACTCAGATCCCTCCGCACTCAGATCCCTCCGCACTCAGATCCCTCCGCACTCAGATCCCTCCCACTCAGATCCCTCTGCACTCAGATCCCTCTCGACTCAGATCCCTCCGCACTCAGATCCCTCCGCACTCAGATCCCTCCACTCAGATCCCTCCGCACTCAGATCCTCTGCACTCAGATCCCTCCGCACTCAGATCCTCTCCGCACCAGATCCCTCCGCACTCAGATCCCTCTGCACTCAGATCCCTCCGCACTCAGATCCCTCCGCACTCAGATCCCTCCGCACTCAGATCCCTCCGCACTCAGATCCCCCGCACTCAGATTCCTCTGCACTCAGATCCCTCCGCACTCAGATCCCTCGCACTCAGATCCCTCCGCACTCAGATCCCTCCGCACTCAGATCCCTCTGCACTCAGATCCCCTGCACTCAGATCCCTCCGCACTCAGATCCCTCCGCACTCAGATCCTCTGCACTCAGATCCCTCCGCACTCAGATCCCTCCGCACTCAGATCCCTCCGCACTCAGATCCCTCCGCACTCAGATCCCTCCGCACTCAGATCCCTCTGCACTCAGATTCCTCCGCACTCAGATCCCTCCGCACTCAGATCCCTCCGCACTCAGATCCCTCCGCACTCAGATCCCTCCGCACTCAGATCCCTCCGCACTCAGATCCCTCTGCACTCAGATCCCTCTGCCCTCAGATCCCTCCGCACTCAGATCCCTCCGCACTCAGATCCCTCCTGCACTCAGATCCCTCTCGACTCAGATCCCTCCGCACTCAGATCCCTCCGCACTCAGATCCCTCCGCACTCAGATCCCTCCGCACTCAGATCCCTCTGCACTCAGATCCCTCCGTACTCAGATCCCTCCGCACTCAGATCCCTCCGCACTCAGATCCCTCCGCACTCAGATCCCTCCGCACTCAGATCCCTCCGCACTCAGATCCCTCCGCACTCAGATCCCTCCGCCACTCAGATCCTCCGCACTCAGATCCCTCCGCACTCAGATCCCTCCGCACTCAGATCCTCTGCACTCAGATCCCTCTGCACTCAGATCCCTCCGCACTCAGATCCCTCTGCACTCAGATCCCTCTGCACTCAGATCCCTCTGCACTCAGATCCCTCCGCACTCAGATCCCTCGCACTCAGATCCTCCGCACTCAGATCCCTCCGCACTCAGATCCCTCCGCACTCAGATCCCTCCGCACTCAGATCCCTCCGCACTCAGATCCTCCTCCACTCAGATCCCTCCGCACTCAGATCCCTCCGCACTCAGATCCCTCCGCACTCAGATCCCTCTGCACTCAGATCCCTCCGCACTCAGATCCCTCTGCACTCAGATCCCTCTGCACTCAGATCCCTCCGCACTCAGATCCCTCCGCACTCAGATCCCTCCCTCTCCCCCCCCCCCGCGCACTCAGATCCCTCCCACGCACTCAGATCCCTCCGCACTCAGATCCTCTGCACTCAGATTCCTCCGCACTCAGATCCCCCGCACTCAGATCCCTCCGCACTCAGATCCCTCCGCACTCAGATCCCTCTGCACTCAGATCCCTCCGCACTCAGATCCCTCCGCACTCAGATCCTCTGCACTCAGATCCCTCCGCACTCAGATCCCTCCGCACTCAGATCCCTCCGCACTCAGATCCTCCGCACTCAGATCCCTCTGCACTCAGATCCCTCTGCACTCAGATCCTCTGCACTCAGATCCCTCCGCACTCAGATCCCTCCGCACTCAGATCCCTCCGCACTCAGATCCCTCCGCACTCAGATCCCTCCGCACTCAGATCCCTCCGCACTCAGATCCCTCCGCACTCAGATCCCTCCGCCCTCAGATCCCTCCGCACTCAGATCCCTCCGCACTCAGATCCCTCCGCACTCAGATCCTCCGCACTCAGATCCCTCGCACTCAGATCCCTCTGCACTCAGATCCCTCCGCACTCAGATCCTTCGCACTCAGATCCCTCTGCACTCAGATCCCTCCGCACTCAGATCCTCCGCACTCAGCCCAGATCCCTCCGCACTCAGATCCCTCCGCACCTCAGAATCAGATTCCTCCGCACTCAGATCCCTCCGCACTCAGATCCCTCCGCACTCGATCCCTCCGCACTCAGATCCCTCTGCACTCAGATCCCTCTGCACTCAGATCCCTCCGCACTCAGATCCCTCCGCACTCAGATCCCTCCGCACTCAGATCCTCCGCACTCATCCCTCCGCACTCAGATCCCTTCCTTCCGCACTCAGATCCCTCCGCACTCAGATCCCTCCGGCACTCAGATCCCTCCGCACTCAGATCCCTCCGCACTCAGATCCCTCCGCACTCAGATCCCTCTGCACTCAGATTCCTCCGCACTCAGATCCTCTGCACTCAGATTCCTCCGCACTCAGATCCCTCCGCACTCAGATCCCTCCGCACTCAGATCCCTCCGCACTCAGATCCCTCCGCACTCAGATCCCTCCGCACTCAGATCCCCTGCCTCAGATCCCTCCGCACTCAGATCCCTCGCACTCAGATCCCTCCGCACTCAGATCCCTCCGCACTCAGATCCCTCCGCACTCAGATTCCTCCGCACTCAGATCCCTCCGCACTCAGATCCCTCCGCACTCAGATCCCCCCCGCACTCAGATCCCTCCGCACTCAGATCCCTCCGCACTCAGATCCCTCCGCACTCAGATCCCTCCGCACTCAGATCCCTCCGCACTCAGATCCCTCTGCACTCAGATCCCTCCGCACTCAGATCCTCCGCACTCAGATCCTCCGCACTCAGATCCCTCCGCACTCAGATCCCTCTGCACTCAGATCCCTCTGCACTCAGATCCCTCCGCACTCAGATCCCTCCGCACTCAGATCCCTCCGCACTCAGATCCCTCCGCACTCAGATCCCTCGCACTCAGATCCCTCTGCACTCAGATCCTCCGCACTCAGATCCCTCCGCACTCAGATCCCTCCGCACTCAGATCCCTCCGCACTCAGATCCCTCCGCACTCAGATCCCTCCGCACTCAGATCCCTCCGCACTCAGATCCCTCCGCACTCAGATCCCTCCGCACTCAGATCCCTCTGCACTCAGATCCCTCTGCACTCAGATCCCTCCGCACTCAGATCCCTCTGCACTCAGATCCCTCTGCACTCAGATCCCTCCGCACTCAGATTCCTCCGCACTCAGATCCCTCCGCACTCAGATCCCTCCGCACTCAGATCCCTCCGCACTCAGATCCTCCGCACTCAGATCCCTCCGCACTCAGATCCTCCACTCAGATCCCTCTGCACTCAGATCCCTCCGCACTCAGATCCCTCTGCACTCAGATCCTCTGCACTCAGATCCCCTCCACTCAGATCCCTCCGCACTCAGATCCCTCCGCACTCAGATCCCTCCGCACTCAGATCCCTCCGCACTCAGATCCCTCTGCACTCAGATCCTCTCACTCAGATCCCTCTGCACTCAGATCCCTCTGCACTCAGATCCCTCCGCACTCAGATCCCTCCGCACTCAGATCCCTCCGCACTCAGATCCCTCCGCACTCAGATCCCTCCGCACTCAGATCCCTCCGCACTCAGATCCCTCCGCACTCAGATCCCTCCGCACTCAGATCCTCCGCACTCAGATCCCTCTGCACTCAGATCCCTCCGCACTCAGATTCCTCCGCACTCAGATCCCTCCGCACTCAGATCCCTCCGCACTCAGATCCCTCTGCACTCAGATAGCTCCGCGCCCCGACCCCTCCGCACTCAGATCCCTCCGCACTCAGATCCTCTGCACTCAGATCCCTCGCACTCAGATCCCTCCGCACTCCCCCCCCACTCATTTGCTCCGATTCCTCTGCACTCAGATCCCTCCGCACTCATCCAGATCAACTCCTCCGCACTCAGATCCTCCGCACTCAGATCCCTCCGCACTCAGATCCCTTCGGACTCACAGTCCTCCGCACTCAGATCCCTCCGCACTCAGATCCCTCTGCACTCAGATCCCTCTGCACTCAGATCCCTCCGCACTCAGATCCCTCCGCACTCAGATCCCTCTGCACTCAGATCCTCCGCACTCAGATCCCCCGCACTCAGATCCCTCCGCACTCAGATCCCTCCGCACTCAGATCCCTCCGCACTCAGATCCCTCCGCACTCAGATCCCTCCGCACTCAGATCCCTCCGCACTCAGATCCCTCTGCACTCAGATCCCTCCGCACTCATCCCTCCGCACTCAGATCCCTCGCACTCAGATCCTCCGCACTCAGATCCCTCCGCACTCAGATCCCTCCGCACTCAGATCCCTCCGCACTCAGATCCTCTCGCACTCAGATCCCTCCGCACTCAGATCCCTCCGCACTCAGATCCCTCCGCACTCAGATCCCTCTGCACTCAGATCCCTCCGCACTCAGATCCCTCTGCACTCAGATCCCTCTGCACTCAGATCCCCCGCACTCAGATCCCTCTGCACTCAGATCCCTCCGCACTCAGATCCCTCCGCACTCAGATCCCTCCGCACTCAGATCCCTCTGCACTCAGATCCCTCCGCACTCAGATCCCTCCGCACTCAGATCCCTCCGCACTCAGATCCCTCCGCACTCAGATCCCTCCGCACTCAGATTCCTCCGCACTCAGATCCCTCCGCACCACTCAGATCCCTCCGCACTCAGATCCCTCCGCACTCAGATCCCTCCGCACTCAGATCCCTCTGCACTCAGATCCCTCCGCACTCAGATCCCTCCGCACTCAGATCCCTCCGCACTCAGATCCCTCCGCACTCAGATCCCTCCGCACTCAGATCCTCCGCACTCAGATCCCTCCGCACTCAGATCCCTCCGCACTCAGATCCCTCTGCACTCAGATCCCCTCCGCACTCAGATCCCTCCGCACTCAGATCCCTCCGCACTCAGATCCCTCCGCACTCAGATCCCTCCGCACTCAGATCCCTCCGCACTCAGATCCCTCCGCACTCAGATCCCTCCGCACTCAGATCCCTCCGCACTCAGATCCCCCGCACTCAGATCCCTCCGCACTCAGATCCCTCCGCACTCAGATCCCTCCGCACTCAGATCCCTCCGCACTCAGATCCCTCTGCACTCAGATCCCTCCGCACTCAGATCCCTCCGCACTCAGATCCCTCCGCACTCAGATCCCTCCGCACTCAGATCCCTCCGCACTCAGATCCCTCTGCACTCAGATCCCTCCGCACTCAGATCCCTCCGCACTCAGATCCCTCTCGCACTCAGATCCCTCTGCACTCAGATCCTCCGCACTCAGATCCCTCCGCACTCAGATCCCTCCGCACTCAGATCCCTCCGCACTCAGATCCCTCCGCACTCAGATCCCTCCGCACTCAGATCCCTCCGCACTCAGATCCCTCCGCACTCAGATCCCTCCGCACTCAGATCCCTCCGCACTCAGATCCCTCGCACTCAGATCCCTCCGCACTCAGATCCCTCCGCACTCAGATCCCTCCGCACTCAGATCCCTCCGCACTCAGATCCCTCTGCACTCAGATCCCTCTGCACTCAGATCCCTCCGCACTCAGATCCCTCCGCACTCAGATCCCTCCGCACTCAGATCCCTCCGCACTCAGATCCCTCCGCACTCAGATCCCTCTGCACTCAGATCCCTCCGCACTCAGATCCCTCCGCACTCAGATCCTCCTGCACTCAGATCCTCTGCACTCAGATCCCTCCGCACTCAGATCCCTCCGCACTCAGATCCTCCGCACTCAGATCCCTCCTCCGCACTCAGATCCTCCGCACTCAGATCCCTCCGCACTCAGATTCCTCCGCACTCAGATCCCTCCGCACTCAGATCCCTCCGCACTCAGATCCTCCGCACTCAGATCCCTCCGCACTCAGATCCCTCTGCACTCAGATCCCTCGCTCAGATCCCTCTGCACTCAGATCCCTCCGCACTCAGATCCCTCCGCACTCAGATCCCTCCGCACTCAGATCCCTCCGCACTCAGATCCTTCCGCACTCAGATCCCTCTGCACTCAGATCCCTCCGCACTCAGATCCCTCCGCACTCAGATCCCTCCGCACTCAGATCCCTCTGCACTCAGATCCCTCCGCACTCAGATCCCTCCGCACTCAGATCCCTCCGCACTCAGATCCCTCCGCACTCAGATCCCTCCGCACTCAGATCCCTCCGCACTCAGATCCCTCCGCACTCAGATCCCTCCGCACTCAGATCCCTCCGCACTCAGATCCCTCCGCACTCAGATCCCTCTGCACTCAGATCCCTCCGCACTCAGATCCCTCCCTCAGATCCCTCCGCACTCAGATCCCTCCGCACTCAGATCCCTCCGCACTCAGATCCCTCCGCACTCAGATCCCTCCGCACTCAGATCCCTCCACACTCAGATCCCTCCGCACTCAGATCCCTCTGCACTCAGATCCCTCCGCACTCAGATCCCTCCGCACTCAGATCCCTCCGCACTCAGATCCTCCGCACTCAGATCCTTGCACTCAGATCCCTCGCACTCAGATCCCTCCGCACTCAGATCCCTCCGCACTCAGATCCCTCCGCACTCAGATCCTCCGCACTCAGATCCCTCCGCACTCAGATCCCTCCGCACTCAGATCCCTCCGCACTCAGATCCCTCCGCACTCAGATCCCTCTGCACTCAGATCCCTCCGCACTCAGATCCCTCCGCACTCAGATCCTCCGCACTCAGATCCCTCCGCACTCAGATCCCTCCGCACTCAGATCCCTCTGCACTCAGATCCCTCCGCACTCAGATCCCTCCGCATTCCTCCGCACTCAGATCCCTCCGCACTCAGATCCCTCCGCACTCAGATCCCTCCGCACTCAGATCCCTCCGCACTCAGATCCCTCGCACTCAGATCCCTCCGCACTCAGATCCCTCCGCACTCAGATCCCTCCGCACTCAGATCCCTCTGCACTCAGATCCCTCCGCACTCAGATCCCTCCGCACTCAGATCCTCCGCACTCAGATCCCTCCGCACTCAGATCCCTCCGCACTCAGATCCTCCGCACTCAGATCCCTCCGCACTCAGATTCCTCCGCACTCAGATTCCCCGCACTCAGATCCCTCCGCACTCAGATCCCTCCGCACTCAGATCCCTCGCACTCAGATCCCTTTGCACTCAGATCCCTCCGCACTCAGATCCCTCCGCACTCAGATCCCTCCGCACTCAGATCCCTCCGCACTCAGATCCCTCCGCACTCAGATCCCTCCGCACTCAGATCCCTCCGCACTCAGATCCCTCCGCACTCAGATCCCTCCGCACTCAGATCCCTCTGCACTCAGATCCCTCTGCACTCAGATCCCTCCGCACTCAGATCCCTCCGCACTCAGATCCCTCCGCACTCAGATCCCTCCGCACTCAGATCCCTCCGCACTCAGATCCTCCGCACTCAGATCCCTCCGCACTCAGATCCCTCGCACTCAGATCCCTCCGCACTCAGATCCCTCCGCACTCAGATCCCTCCGCACTCAGATCCCTCGCACTCAGATCCCTCCGCACTCAGATCCCTCCGCACTCAGATCCCTCCGCACTCAGATCCCTCTGCACTCAGATCCCTCTGCACTCAGATCCCTCCGCACTCAGATCCCTCCGCACTCAGATCCCTCCGCACTCAGATCCCTCCGCACTCAGATCCCTCCGCACTCAGATCCCTCCGCACTCAGATCCCTCCGCACTCAGATCCCTCCGCACTCAGATCCGATCCCTCTGCACTCAGATCCCTCCGCACTCAGATCCCTCCGCACTCAGATCCCTCCGCACTCAGATCCCTCCGCACTCAGATCCCTCCGCACTCAGATCCCTCCGCACTCAGATCCCTCCGCACTCAGATCCTCCGCACTCAGATCCCTCCGCACTCAGATCCCTCCGCACTCAGATCCCTCCGCACTCAGATCCCTCCGCACTCAGATCCCTCCGCACTCAGATCCCTCCGCACTCAGATCCCTCCGCACTCAGATCCCTCCGCTCAGATCTCCGCACTCAGATCCCTCCGCACTCAGATCCCTCCGCACTCAGATCCCTCCGCACTCAGATCCCTCCGCACTCAGATCCCTCCGCACTCAGATCCCTCCGCACTCAGATCCTCCGCACTCAGATCCCTCCGCACTCAGATCCCTCCGCACTCAGATCCCTCCGCACTCAGATCCCTCCGCACTCAGATCCCTCTGCACTCAGATCCCTCCGCACTCAGATCCCTCCGCACTCAGATCCCTCCGCACTCAGATCCCTCCGCACTCAGATCCCTCCGCACTCAGGGCCCTCGTCACACAAAATCCTCCGCACTCAGATCCCTCCGCACTCAGATCCCTCGCACTCAGATCCCCTGCACTCAGATCCCTCCGCACTCAGATCCCTCTGCACTCAGATCCCTCCGCACTCAGATCCCTCCGCACTCAGATCCCTCCGCACTCAGATCCCTCCGCACTCAGATCCCCGCACTCAGATCCCTCCGCACTCAGATCCCTCCGCACTCAGATCCCTCCACACTCAGATCCTCCGCACTCAGATCCCTCCGCACTCAGATCCCTCCGCACTCAGATCCCTCCGCACTCAGATCCCTCCGCACTCAGATCCCTCCGCACTCAGATCCCTCCGCACTCAGATCCCTCCGCACTCAGATCCCTCTGCACTCAGATCCCTCCGCACTCAGATCCCTCCGCACTCAGATCCCTCCGCACTCAGATCCCTCCGCACTCAGATCCCTCCGCACTCAGATCCCTCCGCACTCAGATCCCTCTGCACTCAGATCTCTCTGCACTCAGATCCCTCCGCACTCAGATCCCTCTGCACTCAGATCCCTCCGCACTCAGATCCCTCCGCACTCAGATCCCTCCGCACTCAGATCCCTCCGCACTCAGATCCCTCCGCACTCAGATCCCTCCGCACTCAGATCCCTCCGCACTCAGATCCCTCCGCACTCAGATCCCTCCGCACTCAGATCCCTCCGCACTCAGATCCCTCCGCACTCAGATCCCTCCGCACTCAGATCCCTCGCACTCAGATCCCTCTGCACTCAGATCCCTCCGCACTCAGATCCCTCTGCACTCAGATCCCTCTGCACTCAGATCCCTCCGCACTCAGATCCTCCGCACTCAGATCCCTCCGCACTCAGATCCCTCCGCACTCAGATCCCTCCGCACTCAGATCCCTCCGCACTCAGATCCCTCCGCACTCAGATCCCTCCGCACTCAGATCCCTCCGCACTCAGATCCCTCCGCACTCAGATCCCTCCGCACTCAGATCCCTCCGCACTCAGATCCCTCCGCACTCAGATCCCTCCGCACTCAGATCCCTCCGCACTCAGATCCCTCCGCACTCAGATCCCTCTGCACTCAGATCCCTCCGCACTCAGATCCTCCGCACTCAGATTCCTCTCCGCACTCAGATCCCTCGCACTCAGATCCCTCCGCACTCAGATCCCTCCGCACTCAGATCCCTCCGCACTCAGATCCCTCCGCACTCAGATTCCTCCGCACTCAGATCCTCCGCACTCAGATCCCTCCGCACTCAGATCCCTCCGCACTCAGATCCCCCGCACTCAGATCCCTCCGCACTCAGATCCTCTGCACTCAGATCCCTCCGCACTCAGATCCTCCGCACTCAGATCCCTCCGCACTCAGATCCCTCCGCACTCAGATCCCTCCGCACTCAGATCCCTCCGCACTCAGATCCCTCCGCACTCAGATCCCTCTGCACTCAGATCCCTCTGCACTCAGATTCCTCCGCACTCAGATCCCTCTGCACTCAGATTCCCCGCACTCAGATCCTCCGCACTCAGATCCCTCCGCACTCAGATCCCTCCGCACTCAGATCCCTCCGCACTCAGATCCCTCCGCACTCAGATCCCTCCGCACTCAGATCCCTCCGCACTCAGATCCCTCCGCACTCAGATTCCTCCGCACTCAGATCCTCTGCACTCAGATCCCTCCGCACTCAGATCCCTCCGCACTCAGATCCCTCCGCACTCAGATCCCCCGCACTCAGATCCTCCGCACTCAGATCCCTCCGCACTCAGATCCCTCCGCACTCAGATCCCTCCGCACTCAGATCCCTCCGCACTCAGATCCCTCCGCACTCAGATCCCTCCGCACTCAGATCCCTCCGCACTCAGATCCCTCTGCACTCAGATCCCTCCGCACTCAGATTCCTCCGCACTCAGATCCCTCCGCACTCAGATTCCTCCGCACTCAGATCCCTCCGCACTCAGATCCCTCCGCACTCAGATCCCTCGCACTCAGATCCCTCGCACTCAGATCCTCCGCACTCAGATCCCTCTGCACTCAGATCCCTCTGCACTCAGATCCCTCCGCACTCAGATCCCTCTGCACTCAGATCCCCTGCACTCAGATCCCTCCGCACTCAGATCCCTCCGCACTCAGATCCTCCGCACTCAGATCCTCCGCACTCAGATCCCTCCGCACTCAGATCCCTCCGCACTCAGATCCCTCCGCACTCAGATCCCTCTGCACTCAGATCCTCCGCACTCAGATCCCTCCGCACTCAGATCCCTCCGCACTCAGATCCCTCCGCACTCAGATCCCTCTGCACTCAGATCCCTCCGCACTCAGATCCCTCCGCACTCAGATCCCTCTGCACTCAGATCCCTCCGCACTCAGATCCCTCCGCACTCAGATCCCTCCGCACTCAGATCCCTCCGCACTCAGATCCCTCCGCACTCAGATCCTCCGCACTCAGATCCCTCTGCACTCAGATCCCTCCGCACTCAGATCCCTCCGCACTCAGATCCCTCCGCACTCAGATCCCTCCGCACTCAGATCCCTGCACTCAGATCCCTCTGCACTCAGATCCCTCCGCACTCAGATCCCTCTGCACTCAGATCCTCCGCACTCAGATCCCTCCGCACTCAGATCCCTCTGCACTCAGATCCCTCCGCACTCAGATCCCTCCGCACTCAGATCCCTCCGCACTCAGATCCCTCTGCACTCAGATCCCTCCGCACTCAGATCCCTCCGCACTCAGATCCTCCGCACTCAGATCCCTCCGCACTCAGATCCCTCCGCACTCAGATCCCTCTGCACTCAGATCCCTCCGCACTCAGATTCCCTCCGCACTCAGATCCCTCCGCACTCAGATCCCTCTGCACTCAGATCCCTCCGCACTCAGATCCCTCCGCACTCAGATCCCTCCGCACTCAGATCCCTCCGCACTCAGATCCCTCCGCACTCAGATCCCTCGCACTCAGATCCCTCTGCACTCAGATCCCCCTCTGCACTCAGATCCTCCGCACTCAGATCCCTCCGCACTCAGATCCCTCCGCACTCAGATCCCTCCGCACTCAGATCCCTCCGCACTCAGATCCCTCCGCACTCAGATCCTCCGCACAGATCCCTCCAGATTCCTCCGCACTCAGATCCCTCTGCACTCAGATCCTCCGCACTCAGATCCCTCCGCACTCAGATCCCTCCGCACTCAGATCCCTCTGCACTCAGATCCTCCCCGCACTCAGATCCTCCGCACTCAGATCCCTCCGCACTCAGATCCCTCCGCACTCAGATCCCTCCGCACTCAGATCCCTCCGCACTCAGATCCCTCCGCACTCAGATCCCTCCGCACTCAGATCCCTTGCACTCAGATCCCTCTGCACTCAGATCCTCTGCACTCAGATCCCTCCGCACTCAGATCCCTCCGCACTCAGATCCCTCTGCACTCAGATCCCTCCGCACTCAGATCCCTCCGCACTCAGATCCCTCCGCACTCAGATCCCTCTGCACTCAGATCCCTCCGCACTCAGATCCCTCGCACTCAGATCCCTCCGCACTCAGATCCCTCCGCACTCAGATCCCTCTGCACTCAGATCCCTCCGCACTCAGATCCCTCCACTCAGATCCCTCCGCACTCAGATCCCTCTGCACTCAGATCCCTCCGCACTCAGATCCCTCCGCACTCAGATCCCTCCGCACTCAGATCCCTCCGCACTCAGATCCCTCCGCACTCAGATCCCTCCGCACTCAGATCCTCCGCACTCAGATCCCTCCGCACTCAGATCCCTCCGCACTCAGATCCCTCCGCACTCAGATCCCTCCGCACTCAGATCCCTCGCACTCAGATCCCTCTGCACTCAGATCCCTCCGCACTCAGATCCCTCTGCACTCAGATCCCTCCGCACTCAGATCCCTCCGCACTCAGATCCTCCGCACTCAGATCCCTCCGCACTCAGATCCCTCCGCACTCAGATCCCTCCGCACTCAGATCCTCCGCACTCAGATCCCTCTCCACTCAGATCCCTCCGCACTCAGATCCCTCCGCACTCAGATCCCTCTGCACTCAGATCCCTCCGCACTCAGATCCCTCCGCACTCAGATCCTCCGCACTCAGATCCCTCCGCACTCAGATCCCTCCGCACTCAGATCCCTCTTCACTCAGATCCCTCCGCACTCAGATCCCTCCGCACTCAGATCCCTCCGCACTCAGATCCCTCCGCACTCAGATCCCTCCGCACTCAGATCCCTCCGCACTCAGATCCCTCTGCACTCAGATCCCTCCGCACTCAGATCCCTCCGCACTCAGATCCCTCCGCACTCAGATCCCTCTGCACTCAGATCCCTCCGCACTCAGATCCCTCCGCACTCAGATCCCTCCGCACTCAGATCCCTCCGCACTCAGATCCCTCCGCACTCAGATCCCCCGCACTCAGATCCTCCGCACTCAGATCCCTCCCTCCGCACTCAGATCCCTCCGCACTCAGATCCCTCCACACTCAGATCCCTCCGCACTCAGATCCCTCCGCACTCAGATCCCTCTGCACTCAGATCCCTCCGCACTCAGATCCCTCTGCACTCAGATCCCTCTGCACTCAGATCCCTCCGCACTCAGATCCCTCCGCACTCAGATCCCTCCGCACTCAGATCCCTCCGCACTCAGATCCCTCCGCACTCAGATCCCTCTGCACTCAGATCCCTCCGCACTCAGATCCTCCGCACTCAGATCCCTCCGCACTCAGATCCCTCCGCACTCAGATCCCTCCGCACTCAGATCCCTCCGCACTCAGATCCCTCCGCACTCAGATCCCTCCGCACTCAGATCCCTCCGCACTCAGATCCCTCCGCACTCAGATCCTCTGCACTCAGATCCCTCCGCACTCAGATCCCTCCGCACTCAGATCCCTCCGCACTCAGATCCCTCCGCACTCAGATCCTCCGCACTCAGATCCCTCCGCACTCAGATCCTCCGCACTCAGATCCTCCGCACTCAGATCCTCCGCACTCAGATCCTCCGCACTCAGATCCCTCCGCACTCAGATCCCTCCGCACTCAGATCCCTCCGCACTCAGATCCCTCCGCACTCAGATCCCTCTGCACTCAGATCCCTCGCACTCAGATCCTCTCCGCACTCAGATCCTCCGCACTCAGATCCCTCTCGCACTCAGATCCCTCCGCACTCAGATCCCTCCGCACTCAGATCCCTCCGCACTCAGATCCCTCTGCACTCAGATCCCTCTGCACTCAGATCCCTCCGCACTCAGATCCCTCTGCACTCAGATTCCTCCGCACTCAGATCCCTCCGCACTCAGATCCCTCCGCACTCAGATCCCTCCGCACTCAGATCCCTCCGCACTCAGATCCCTCCGCACTCAGATCCCTCCGCACTCAGATCCCTCCGCACTCAGATCCCTCCGCACTCAGATCCCTCCGCACTCAGATCCCTCTGCACTCAGATCCCTCCGCACTCAGATCCCTCCGCACTCAGATCCCTCCGCACTCAGATCCCCCGCACTCAGATCCCTCCGCACTCAGATCCCTGCACTCAGATCCTCCGCACTCAGATCCCTCCGCACTCAGATCCCTCCGCACTCAGATCCCTCCGCACTCAGATCCCTCCGCACTCAGATCCCTCCACTCAGATCCCTCTGCACTCAGATCCCTCTGCACTCAGATCCCTCCGCACTCCCTCCGCACTGATCCCACCTCCGCACTCAGATCTCCGATTCCCTCCGCACTCAGATCCCTCCGCACTCAGATCCCTCCGCACTCAGATCCCTCCGCACTCAGATCCCTCCGCACTCAGATCCCTCCGCACTCAGATCCCTCTGCACTCAGATCCCTCTGCACTCAGATCCCTCGCACTCAGATCCCTCTGCACTCAGATCCCTCCGCACTCAGATCCCTCCGCACTCAGATCCCTCCGCACTCAGATCCCTCCGCACTCAGATCCCTCCGCACTCAGATCCCTCCGCACTCAGATCCCTCCGCACTCAGATCCCTCCGCACTCAGATCCCTCTGCACTCAGATCCCTCCGCACTCAGATCCCTCCGCACTCAGATCCCTCCGCACTCAGATCCCTCCGCACTCAGATCCCTCTGCACTCAGATCCCTCCGCACTCAGATCCCTCCGCACTCAGATCCCTCCGCACTCAGATCCCTCTGCACTCAGATCCCTCCGCACTCAGATCCCTCCGCACTCAGATCCCTCCGCACTCAGATCCTCCGCACTCAGATCCCTCCGCACTCAGATCCCTCCGCACTCAGATCCCTCCGCACTCAGATCCCTCCGCACTCAGATCCCTCCGCACTCAGATCCCTCCGCACTCAGATCCCTCCGCACTCAGATCCCTCCGCACTCAGATCCCTTGCACTCAGATCCCTCTGCACTCAGATCCCTCCGCACTCAGATCCCTCTGCACTCAGATCCCTCCGCACTCAGATCCCTCCGCACTCAGATCCCTCTGCACTCAGATCCCTCCGCACTCAGATCCCTCCGCACTCAGATCCCTCCGCACTCAGATCCTCTGCACTCAGATCCCTCCGCACTCAGATCCCTCCGCACTCAGATCCCTCCGCACTCAGATCCCTCCGCACTCAGATCCCTCCGCACTCAGATCCCTCTGCACTCAGATCCTCCGCACTCAGATCCTCCGCACTCAGATCCCTCCGCACTCAGATCCCTCCGCACTCAGATCCCTCCGCACTCAGATCCTCCGCACTCAGATCCCTCCGCACTCAGATCCCTCCGCACTCAGATCCCTCCGCACTCAGATCCCTCCGCACTCAGATCCCTCTGCACTCAGATCCCTCTGCACTCAGATCCCTCCGCACTCAGATCCTCCGCACTCAGATCCCTCCGCACTCAGATCCCTCCGCACTCAGATCCCTCCGCACTCAGATCCCTCCGCACTCAGATCCCTCCGCACTCAGATCCCTCCGCACTCAGATCCCTCTGCACTCAGATCCCTCCGCACTCAGATCCCTCCGCACTCAGATCCCTCCGCACTCAGATCCCTCTGCACTCAGATCCCTCCGCACTCAGATCCCTCCGCACTCAGATTCCTCCGCACTCAGATCCCTCCGCACTCAGATCCCTCCGCACTCAGATCCCTCCGCACTCAGATCCCTCCGCACTCAGATCCCTCCGCACTCAGATCCCTCTGCACTCAGATCCCTCTGCACTCAGATCCCTCTGCACTCAGATCCCTCCGCACTCAGATCCCTCCGCACTCAGATCCCTCTGCACTCAGATCCCTCCGCACTCAGATCCCTCCGCACTCAGATCCCTCCGCACTCAGATCCCTCTGCACTCAGATCCCTCCGCACTCAGATCCCTCTGCACTCAGATCCCTCCGCACTCAGATCCCTCCGCACTCAGATCCTCTGCACTCAGATCCCTCCGCACTCAGATCCCTCCGCACTCAGATCCCTCTGCACTCAGATCCCTTTGCACTCAGATCCCTCCGCACTCAGATCCCTCCGCACTCAGATCCCTCCGCACTCAGATCCCTCCGCACTCAGATCCCTCCGCACTCAGATCCCTCCGCACTCAGATTCCTCCGCACTCAGATCCCTCCGCACTCAGATCCCTCCGCACTCAGATCCCTCCGCACTCAGATCCCTCCGCACTCAGATCCCTCCGCACTCAGATCCCTCTGCACTCAGATCCCTCCGCACTCAGATCCCTCTGCACTCAGATCCCTCTGCACTCAGATCCCTCCGCACTCAGATCCCTCCGCACTCAGATCCCTCCGCACTCAGATCCCTCCGCACTCAGATCCCTCCGCACTCAGATCCCTCTGCACTCAGATCCTCCGCACTCAGATCCCTCCGCACTCAGATCCCTCCGCACTCAGATCCCTCCGCACTCAGATCCCTCCGCACTCAGATCCCTCTGCACTCAGATCCCTCCGCACTCAGATCCCTCTGCACTCAGATCCCTCCGCACTCAGATCCCTCCGCACTCAGATCCCTCCGCACTCAGATCCCTCCGCACTCAGATCCCTCTGCACTCAGATCCCTCCGCACTCAGATCCCTCCGCACTCAGATCCCTCTGCACTCAGATCCCTCCGCACTCAGATCCCTCCGCACTCAGATTCCTCCGCACTCAGATCCCTCAGCACTCAGATCCCTCCGCACTCAGATCCCTCCGCACTCAGATCCCTCCGCACTCAGATCCCTCCGCACTCAGATCCCTCCGCACTCAGATCCCTCTGCACTCAGATCCCTCTGCACTCAGATCCCTCTGCACTCAGATCCCTCCGCACTCAGATCCCTCCGCACTCAGATCCCTCTGCACTCAGATCCCTCCGCACTCAGATCCCTCCGCACTCAGATCCCTCCGCACTCAGATCCCTCTGCACTCAGATCCCTCCGCACTCAGATCCCTCTGCACTCAGATCCCTCCGCACTCAGATCCCTCCGCACTCAGATCCCTCTGCACTCAGATCCCTCCGCACTCAGATCCCTCCGCACTCAGATCCCTCTGCACTCAGATCCCTCTGCACTCAGATCCCTCCGCACTCAGATCCCTCCGCACTCAGATCCCTCCGCACTCAGATCCCTCCGCACTCAGATCCCTCCGCACTCAGATTCCTCCGCACTCAGATCCCTCCGCACTCAGATCCCTCCGCACTCAGATCCCTCCGCACTCAGATCCCTCCGCACTCAGATCCCTCCGCACTCAGATCCCTCCGCACTCAGATCCCTCTGCACTCAGATCCCTCCGCACTCAGATCCCTCTGCACTCAGATCCCTCTGCACTCAGATCCCTCCGCACTCAGATCCCTCCGCACTCAGATCCCTCCGCACTCAGATCCCTCCGCACTCAGATCCCTCCGCACTCAGATCCCTCCGCACTCAGATCCCTCCGCACTCAGATCCCTCCGCACTCAGATCCCTCCGCACTCAGATCCCTCCGCACTCAGATCCCTCCGCACTCAGATCCCTCTGCACTCAGATCCCTCCGCACTCAGATCCCTCTGCACTCAGATCCCTCCGCACTCAGATCCCTCCGCACTCAGATTCCTCCGCACTCAGATCCCTCCGCACTCAGATCCCTCTGCACTCAGATCCCTCCGCACTCAGATCCCTCGCACTCAGATCCCCTCGCACTCAGATCCCCTCCGCACTCAGATCCCTCCGCACTCAGATTCCTCCGCACTCAGATTCCTCCGCACTCAGATCCCTCCGCACTCAGATCCCTCCGCACTCAGATCCCTCCGCACTCAGATCCCTCCGCACTCAGATCCCTCCGCACTCAGATCCCTCGCACTCAGATCCCTCTGCACTCAGATCCCTCTGCACTCAGATCCCTCCGCACTCAGATCCCTCCGCACTCAGATCCCTCCGCACTCAGATCCCTCCGCACTCAGATCCCTCCGCACTCAGATCCCTCCGCACTCAGATCCCTCTGCACTCAGATCCCTCCGCACTCAGATCCCTCCGCACTCAGATCCCTCCGCACTCAGATCCCTCCGCACTCAGATCCCTCTGCACTCAGATCCCTCCGCACTCAGATCCCTCCGCACTCAGATCCCTCCGCACTCAGATCCCTCTGCACTCAGATCCCTCCGCACTCAGATCCCTCCGCACTCAGATCCCTCCGCACTCAGATCCCTCCGCACTCAGATCCCTCCGCACTCAGATCCCTCCGCACTCAGATCCCTCTGCACTCAGATCCCTCCGCACTCAGATCCCTCCGCACTCAGATCCCTCCGCACTCAGATCCCTCCGCACTCAGATCCCTCCGCACTCAGATCCCTCCGCACTCAGATCCCTTGCACTCAGATCCCTTCGCACTCAGATCCCTCCGCACTCAGATCCCTCCGCACTCAGATCCCTCCGCACTCAGATCCCTCTGCACTCAGATCCCTCCGCACTCAGATCCCTCCGCACTCAGATCCCTCCGCACTCAGATCCCTCTGCACTCAGATCCCTCCGCACTCAGATCCCTCCGCACTCAGATCCCTCCGCACTCAGATCCCTCCGCACTCAGATCCCTCTGCACTCAGATCCCTCCGCACTCAGATCCCTCCGCACTCAGATCCCTCTGCACTCAGATCCCTCTGCACTCAGATCCCTCCGCACTCAGATCCCTCCGCACTCAGATCCCTCCGCACTCAGATCCCTCCGCACTCAGATTCCTCCGCACTCAGATTCCTCCGCACTCAGATTCCTCCGCACTCAGATCCCTCCGCACTCAGATCCCTCCGCACTCAGATCCCTCCGCACTCAGATCCCTTGCACTCAGATCCCTCTGCACTCAGATCCCTCCGCACTCAGATCCCTCTGCACTCAGATCCCTCTGCACTCAGATCCCTCCGCACTCAGATCCCTCCGCACTCAGATCCCTCCGCACTCAGATCCCTCCGCACTCAGATCCCTCCGCACTCAGATCCCTCCGCACTCAGATCCCTCCGCACTCAGATTCCTCCGCACTCAGATCCCTCCGCACTCAGATCCCTCCGCACTCAGATCCCTTTGCACTCAGATCCCTCTGCACTCAGATCCCTCCGCACTCAGATCCCTCCGCACTCAGATCCCTCCGCACTCAGATCCCTCCGCACTCAGATCCCTCCGCACTCAGATTCCTCCGCACTCAGATTCCTCCGCACTCAGATCACTCCGCACTCAGATCCCTCCGCACTCAGATCCCTCCGCACTCAGATCCCTTTGCACTCAGATCCCTCTGCACTCAGATCCCTCCGCACTCAGATCCCTCTGCACTCAGATCCCTCTGCACTCAGATCCCTCCGCACTCAGATCCCTCCGCACTCAGATCCCTCCGCACTCAGATCCCTCCGCACTCAGATCCCTCCGCACTCAGATCCCTCCGCACTCAGTTCCCTCCGCACTCAGATTCCTCCGCACTCAGATTCCTCCGCACTCAGATCACTCCGCACTCAGATCCCTCCGCACTCAGATCCCTCCGCACTCAGATCCCTTCGCACTCAGATCCCTCTGCACTCAGATCCCTCCGCACTCAGATCCCTCTGCACTCAGATCCCTCTGCACTCAGATCCCTCCGCACTCAGATCCCTCCGCACTCAGATCCCTCCGCACTCAGATCCCTCCGCACTCAGATCCCTCCGCACTCAGATCCCTCTGCACTCAGATCCCTCCGCACTCAGATCCCTCCGCACTCAGATCCCTCCGCACTCAGATCCCTCCGCACTCAGATCCCTCCGCACTCAGATCCCTCTGCACTCAGATCCCTCTGCACTCAGATTCCTCCGCACTCAGATTCCTCCGCACTCAGATCCCTCCGCACTCAGATCCCTCCGCACTCAGATCCCTCCGCACTCAGATCCCTCCGCACTCAGATCCCTCCGCACTCAGATCCCTCCGCACTCAGATCCCTCCGCACTCAGATCCCTCGGCACTCAGATCCCTTCGCACTCAGATCCCTCTGCACTCAGATCCCTCCGCACTCAGATCCCTCCGCACCCAGATCCCTCTGCACTCAGATCCCTCTGCACTCAGATCCCTCCGCACTCAGATCCCTCCGCACTCAGATCCCTCCACACTCAGATCCCTCCGCACTCAGATCCCTCCGCACTCAGATTCCTCCGCACTCAGATTCCTCCGCACTCAGATCCCTCCGCACTCAGATCCCTCCGCACTCAGATCCCTCCGCACTCAGATCCCTCCGCACTCAGATCCCTCTGCACTCAGATCCCTCCGCACTCAGATCCCTCTGCACTCAGATCCCTCTGCACTCAGATCCCTCCGCACTCAGATCCCTCCGCACTCAGATCCCTCCGCACTCAGATCCCTCCGCACTCAGATCCCTCCGCACTCAGATCCCTCTGCACTCAGATCCCTCCGCACTCAGATCCCTCCGCACTCAGATCCCTCTGCACTCAGATCCCTCTGCACTCAGATCCCTCCGCACTCAGATCCCTCCGCACTCAGATCCCTCCGCACTCAGATCCCTCCGCACTCAGATCCCTCCGCACTCAGATCCCTCCGCACTCAGATCCCTCCGCACTCAGATTCCTCCGCACTCAGATCCCTCCGCACTCAGATCCCTCCGCACTCAGATCCCTCCGCACTCAGATCCCTCCGCACTCAGATCCCTTCGCACTCAGATCCCTCTGCACTCAGATCCCTCCGCACTCAGATCCTTCTGCACTCAGATCCCTCTGCACTCAGATCCCTCCGTACTCAGATCCCTCCGCACTCAGATCCCTCCGCACTCAGATCCCTCCGCACTCAGATCCCTCCGCACTCAGATCCCTCTGCACTCAGATCCCTCCGCACTCAGATCCCTCCGCACTCAGATCCCTCTGCACTCAGATCCCTCTGCACTCAGATCCCTCTGCACTCAGATCCCTCCGCACTCAGATCCCTCCGCACTCAGATCCCTCCGCACTCAGATCCCTCCGCACTCAGATCCCTCCGCACTCAGATCCCTCCGCACTCAGTTCCCTCCGCACTCAGATTCCTCCGCACTCAGATTCCTCTGCACTCAGATCCCTCCGCACTCAGATCCCTCCGCACTCAGATCCCTCCGCACTCAGATCCCTTTGCACTCAGATCCCTCTGCACTCAGATCCCTCCGCACTCAGATCCCTCTGCATTCAGATCCCTCTGCACTCAGATCCCTCCGCACTCAGATCCCTCCGCACTCAGATCCCTCCGCACTCAGATCCCTCCGCACTCAGATCCCTCCGCACTCAGATCCCTCCGCACTCAGTTCCCTCCGCACTCAGATTCCTCCGCACTCAGATTCCTCCGCACTCAGATCCCTCCGCACTCAGATCCCTCCGCACTCAGATCCCTCCGCACTCAGATCCCTTCGCACTCAGATCCCTCTGCACTCAGATCCCTCCGCACTCAGATCCCTCTGCACTCAGATCCCTCTGCACTCAGATCCCTCCGCACTCAGATCCCTCCGCACTCAGATCCCTCCGCACTCAGATCCCTCCGCACTCAGATCCCTCCGCACTCAGATCCCTCTGCTCTCAGATCCCTCCGCACTCAGATCCCTCCGCACTCAGATCCCTCCGCACTCAGATCCCTCCGCACTCAGATCCCTCCGCACTCAGATCGCTCCGCACTCAGATCCCTTCGCACTCAGATCCCTCTGCACTCAGATCCCTCCGCACTCAGATCCCTCCGCACTCAGATCCCTCTGCACTCAGATCCCTCTGCACTCAGATCCCTCCGCACTCAGATCCCTCCGCACTCAGATCCCTCCGCACTCAGATCCCTCCGCACTCAGTTCCCTCCGCACTCAGATTCCTCCGCACTCAGATCCTCCGCACTCAGATCACTCCGCACTCAGATCCCTCCGCACTCAGATCCCTCCGCACTCAGATCCCTTCGCACTCAGATCCCTCTGCACTCAGATCCCTCCGCACTCAGATCCCTCTGCACTCAGATCCCTCTGCACTCAGATCCCTCCGCACTCAGATCCCTCCGCACTCAGATCCCTCCGCACTCAGATCCCTCCGCACTCAGATCCCTCCGCACTCAGATCCCTCTGCACTCAGATCCCTCCGCACTCAGATCCCTCCGCACTCAGATCCCTCTGCACTCAGATCCCTCTGCACTCAGATCCCTCTGCTCTCAGATCCCTCCGCACTCAGATCCCTCTGCACTCAGATCCCTCCGCACTCAGATCCCTCCGCACTCAGATCCCTCCGCACTCAGATCCCTCCTCACTCAGATCCCTCCGCACTCAGATCGCTCGGCACTCAGATCCCTTCGCACTCAGATCCCTCTGCACTCACATCCCTCCGCACTCAGCTCCCTCCGCACCCAGATCCCTCTGCACTCAGATCCCTCTGCACTCAGATCCCTCCGCACTCAGATCCCTCAGCACTCAGATCCCTCCACACTCAGATCCCTCCGCACTCAGTTCCCTCCGCACTCAGATCCCTCCGCACTCAGATTCCTCCGCACTCAGATTCCTCCGCACTCAGATCACTCCGCACTCAGATCCCTCCGCACTCATATCCCTCCGCCACTCAGATCCCTTCGCACTCAGATCCCTCTGCACTCAGATCCCTCCGCACTCAGATCCCTCTGCACTCAGATCCCTCTGCACTCAGATCCCTCCGTACTCAGATCCCTCCGCACTCAGATCCCTCCGCACTCAGATCCCTCCGCACTCAGATCCCCTCCCGCACTCAGATCCCTCTGCACTCAGATCCCTCCGCACTCAGATCCATCCGCACCCAGATCCCTCTGCACTCAGATCCCTCTGCACTCAGATCCCTCCGCACCTCAGATCCCTCCGCACTCAGATCCCTCCGCACTCAGATCCCTCCGCACTCAGATCCCTCCGCACTCAGATCCCTCCGCACTCAGTTCCCTCCGCACTCAGATTCCTCCGCACTCAGATTCCTTTGCACTCAGATCACTCCGCACTCAGATCCCTCCGCACTCATATCCCTCCGCACTCAGATCCCTTGCACTCAGATCCCTCCGCACTCAGATCCTTCTGCACTCAGATCCCTGTGCACTCAGATCCCTCCGTACTCAGATCCCTCCGCACTCAGATCCCTCCGCACTCAGATCCCTCCGCACTCAGATCCCTCCGCACTCAGATCCCTCTGCACTCAGATCCCTCCGCACTCAGATCCCTCCGCACCCAGATCCCTCTGCACTCAGATCCCTCTGCACTCAGATCCCACTGCACTCAGATCCCTCCGCACTCAGATCCCTCCGCACTCAGATCACTCCGCACTCAGATCCCTCCGCACTCAGATCCCTCCGCACTCAGATCCCTCCGCACTCAGTTCCCTCCGCACTCAGATTCCTCCGCACTCAGATTCCTCCGCACTCAGATCACTCCGCACTCAGATCCCTCCGCACTCATATCCCTCCGCACTCAGATCCCTTTGCACTCAGATCCCTCTGCACTCAGATCCCTCCGCACTCAGATCCCTCTGCATTCAGATCCCTCTGCACTCAGATCCCTCCGTACTCAGATCCCTCCGCACTCAGATCCCTCCGCACTCAGATCCCTCCGCACTCAGATCCCTCCGCACTCAGATCCCTCCGCACTCAGTTCCCTCCGCACTCAGATTCCTCCGCACTCAGATTCCTCCGCACTCAGATCACTCCGCACTCAGATCCCTCCGCACTCATATCCCTCCGCACTCAGATCCCTTCGCACTGAGATCCCTCTGCACTCAGATCCCTCCTTACTCAGATCCCTCTGCACTCAGATCCCTCTGCACTCAGATCCCTCCGTACTCAGATCCCTCCGCACTCAGATCCCTCCGCACTCAGATCCCCCCGCACTCAGATCCCTCCGCACTCAGATCCCTCTGCTCTCAGATCCCTCCGCACTCAGATCCCTCCGCACTCAGATCCCTCCGCACTCAGATCCCTCCGCACTCAGATCCCTCCGCACTCAGATCCCTCTGCACTTAGATCCCTCTGCACTCAGATTCCTCCGCACTCGGATTCCTCCGCACTCGGATTCCTCAGCACTCGGATCCCTCCGCACTCAGATAACTCCGCACTAACATCCCTCCGCACTCAGATCCCTCCGCACTCAGATCCCTCCGCACTCAGATCCCTCCGCACTCAGATCGCTCGGCACTCAGATCCCTTCGCACTCAGATCCCTCTGCACTCAGATCCCTCCGCACTCAGATCCCTCCGCACCCAGATCCCTGTGCACTCAGATCCCTCTGCACTCAGATCCCTCCGCACTCAGATCCCTCCGCACTCAGATCCCTCCACACTCAGATCCCTCCGCACTCAGTTCCCTCCGCACTCAGATTCCTCCGCACTCAGATTCCTCCGCACTCAGATCACTCCGCACTCAGATCCCTCCGCACTCATATCCCTCCGCACTCAGATCCCTTCGCACTCATATCCCTCTGCACTCAGATCCCTCCGCACTCAGATCCCTCTGCACTCAGATCCCTCTGCACTCAGATCCCTCCGTACTCAGATCCCTCCGCACTCAGATCCCTCCGCACTCAGATCCCTCCGCACTCAGATCCCTCCGCACTCAGATCCCTCTGCACTCAGATCCCTCCGCACTCAGATCCCTCCGCACCCAGATCCCTCTGCACTCAGATCCCTCTGCACTCAGATCCCTCCGCACTCAGATCCCTCCGCACTCAGATCCCTCCGCACTCAGATCCCTCCGCACTCAGATCCCTCCGCACTCAGATCCCTCCGCACTCAGTTCCCTCCGCACTCAGATTCCTCCGCACTCAGATTCCTCCGCACTCAGATCACTCCGCACTCAGATCCCTCCGCACTCATATCCCTCCGCACTCAGATCCCTTTGCACTCAGATCCCTTTGCACTCAGATCCCTCCGCACTCAGATCCTTCTGCACTCAGATCCCTCTGCACTCAGATCCCTCCGTACTCATCCCTCCGCACTCAGATCCCTCCGCACTCAGATCCCTCCGCACTCAGATCCCTCCGCACTCAGATCCCTCTGCACTCAGATCCCTCCGCACTCAGATCCCTCCGCACCCAGATCCCTCTGCACTCAGATCCCTCTGCACTCAGATCCCTCCGCACTCAGATCCCTCCGCACTCAGATCCCTCCGCACTCAGATCCCTCCGCACTCAGTTCCCTCCGCACTCAGATTCCTCCGCACTCAGATTCCTCCGCACTCAGATCACTCCGCACTCAGATCCCTCCGCACTCATATCCCTCCGCACTCAGATCCCTTCGCACTCAGATCCCTCTGCACTCAGATCCCTCCGCACTCAGATCCCTCAGCACTCAGATCCCTCTGCACTCAGATCCCTCCGTACTCAGATCCCTCCGCACTCAGATCCCTCCGCACTCAGATCCCCCCGCACTCAGATCCCTCCGCACTCAGATCCCTCTGCACTCAGATCCCTCCGCACTCAGATCCCTCCGCACTCAGATCACTCCGCACTCAGATCACTCCGCACTCAGATCCCTCCGCACTCATATCCCTCCGCACTCAGATCCCTTTGCACTCAGATCCCTTTGCACTCAGATCCCTCCGCACTCAGATCCTTCTGCACTCAGATCCCTCTGCACTCAGATCCCTCCGTACTCAGATCCCTCCGCACTCAGATCCCTCCGCACTCAGATCCCTCCGCACTCAGATCCCTCCGCACTCAGATCCCTCTGCACTCAGATCCCTCCGCACTCAGATCCCTCCGCACCCAGATCCCTCTGCACTCAGATCCCTCTGCACTCAGATCCCTCCGCACTCAGATCCCTCCGCACTCAGATCCCTCCGCACTCAGATCCCTCCGCACTCAGTTCCCTCCGCACTCAGATTCCTCCGCACTCAGATTCCTCCGCACTCAGATCACTCCGCACTCAGATCCCTCCGCACTCATATCCCTCCGCACTCAGATCCCTTCGCACTCAGATCCCTCTGCACTCAGATCCCTCCGCACTCAGATCCCTCTGCACTCAGATCCCTCTGCACTCAGATCCCTCCGTACTCAGATCCCTCCGCACTCAGATCCCTCCGCACTCAGATCCCCCCGCACTCAGATCCCTCCGCACTCAGATCCCTCTGCACTCAGATCCCTCCGCACTCAGATCCCTCCGCACTCAGATCCCTCCGCACTCAGATCCCTCCGCACTCAGATCCCTCCGCACTCAGATCCCTCTGCACTTAGATCCCTCTGCACTCAGATTCCTCCGCACTCGGATTCCTCCGCACTCGGATTCCTCAGCACTCGGATCCCTCCGCACTCAGATAACTACGCACTCACATCCCTCCGCACTCAGATCCCTCCGCACTCAGATCCCTTCGCACTCAGATCCCTCCGCACTCAGATCGCTCGGCACTCAGATCCCTTCGCACTCAGATCCCTCTGCACTCAGATCCCTCCGCACTCAGATCCCTCTGCACTCAGATCCCTCTGCACTCAGATCCCTCCGTACTCAGATCCTTCTGCACTCAGATCCCTCTGTACTCAGATTCCTCCGCACTCAGATCCCTCCGCACTCAGATCCCTCCGCACTCAGATCCCTCCGCACTCAGATCCCTCCGCACTCAGATCCCTCCGCACTCAGTTCCCTCCGCACTCAGATTCCTCCGCACTCAGATTCCTCCGCACTCAGATCACTCCGCACTCAGATCCCTCCGCACTCATATCCCTCCGCACTCAGATCCCTTCGCACTCAGATGCCTCTGCACTCAGATCCCTCCGCACTCAGATCCTTCTGCACTCAGATCCCTCTGCACTCAGATCCCTCCGTACTCAGATCCCTCCGCACTCAGATCCCTCCGCACTCAGATCCCCCCGCACTCAGATCCCTCCGCAGTCAGATCCCTCTGCACTCAGATCCCTCCGCACTCAGATCCCTCCGCACTCAGATCCCTCCGCACTCAGATCCCTCCGCACTCAGATCCCTCCGCACTCAGATCCCTCTGCACTTAGATCCCTCTGCACTCAGATTCCTCCGCACTCGGATTCCTCCGCACTCGGATTCCTCAGCACTCGGATCCCTCCGCACTCAGATAACTACGCACTCACATCCCTCCGCACTTAGATCCCTCCGCACTCATATCCCTCCGCACTCAGATCCCTTCGCACTCAGATCCCTCTGCACTCAGATCCCTCCGCACTCAGATCCTTCTGCACTCAGATCCCTCTGCACTCAGATCCCTCCGTACTCAGATCCCTCCGCACTCAGATCCTTCTGCACTCAGATCCCTCCGCACTCAGATCCCTCTGCACTCAGATCCCTCCGCACTCAGATCCCTCCGCACTCAGATCTCTCCGCACTCAGTGTTAGAATTCAAGAATGATTGAGTAATGAGCCAAGGAGGCTCTATAGTACAAGCATGCAAGGAAGAGAGGAGTGGAGGAGGAGCTAACCCTATTGGCCACTAAGTTAGCCAATGGGTGAGGTGCCTTGTGGAGTAGGAAACCCCACAATTTAGATTGGATATGATTGGTCGGTTTTAGGACCAAAAGTTTGCAAGTGCCAACCAAGGACCAAGACCAAATCGAATCTTGACCAACCACAAAGTGTGGTTGGAGTGTACACCCAGCCCCCCAAGAACATAAGGGACTACGCCTATTTTAGCCTATGAATGTTGTATATAATGTACATTTACAACACAACCCCCCAACATGCTTAAGGCTAGAAGATGTAATTAGGAGGCCGTAAGAACCGGAGGAGGGGTGAGGCGATGGAGACGCAGAAGGAAGGAGTGGGATGCTTGGGGAAGGGCTTTGGTGAAGATGTCTGCAAGGTTGGCCGCCGGGTCGATTTTGCCAAGGCGAATGTGGTTGGCCTCAACGAGATCGCGAATGAAGAAGTAGCGAAGCTCAATGTGTTTGGAGCGCCCATGATACACAGCATCCTTGGTGAGGTGGATGGTGCTGGCATTGTCATACCAGATGGTGGGACAGCGTTGGGGGGCTCCAAGCTCATCAAGGAGGAAGGTGAGCCAGCGTGCTTCTTGCGCGGCCATGGTGGCAGCGTAGAGCTCTGCTTCGCAGGAGGAGAGGGCGACGGCAGAGGAGCGTGTGGACCGCCAGCTGATAAGACCGCTGCCCAGAGAGAAACCATAACCCTGAGAGGATCGCCGATCCGGTTGCGAATCAGCCCAGGAAGAGTCGCTGTAGCCGCTGAGGAGGGGTGGGGAAGGGCCGCCAAGGGTAAGGACATAGTCCTTGGTGCCACGAACGTAGCGAAGGACGCTCTTGGCTGCCTGCTTGTGCTCTTCCGTATGCTTGCCAGCGCCAACTTAGCAAGCTAGGACGCTGATGGGGTAGGCAAGGTCAGGGCGAGTGGAAACCATGGCGAACATGAGAGAACCGATGAGTTCAGGATAAGGATGGGAGGAGGGAGAGGGACAAGAGGGTGGGGAGAGGTGGTGCCCAACCGAGAGGGGAGTGGGCTGGGGGTTGCCGTGCGCCATTTCAAACCGGTCCAAGACCTGCTAGAGGTAGTGACCCTGATAGAGAGAGATGGTGCGGGCGGAGCGGTCGCGAGTGATGGTCATGCCGAGGTAGTGCTGCAGCTCTCCTAGGTCTTTGCACTTGAGACGGCTGCCCAGCTCTGTCTTGACACTCTCGAGCTCGGCAAGATCGGCAGTGAGGAGAATCATATCGTCAACATAGACGATGATGTAGAAGGGGGGGGGGGAGGTGCGGAGGAAGAGGCTGGCGTCAGAGCGGGAGGTGCGAAACCCAAGCTCGGCAAGGGTGGCAGCAAGCTTGGCATGCCATTCCCTGGGTGCCTGGCGGAGCCCATATACTGGTCGGCGCAGCTGCCAGACGGAGTCAGCGGGGTAGGGGAGGAGGAAGCCCGCTGGGCGCTCCATGTAGATCAGTTCACGTAGCACGCCTTGCAGGAAGGCGTTGGAGACATCCATCGAGTGGATCTCCATGTTGAGGCGAGTGGCGAGGTCGAGTACGGCGCGAACGGTAGCAGGTTTGGCGGTGGGGGAGAAGGTGTCGAAGAAGTCAAAGCCATACCGCCGCGTGAAGCCTTGGGCGCAATACCGGGCCTTGTAGACGGGCGGCTCTCTTGGTAGCTGTTTGATGCGAAACACCCACTTCCCCTTCACCACGTTCGTAGAGGAGGGAGGGCGAGGCACATCAATGAAGGAGGAGTTGGCAATAAATGCCTCGAGCTCCTTGATGATGGTGGCGAGCCAGAGCGGGGCGTCGGGGCAAGCCATGGCCTCCTCATACGTGGTTGGGATGAAGGTGGAGGGAGCAGAGGAAAGGGCGAAGACTGGTGTTCTAGAGAGGTCAAAGGTGATGGGAAGGAGGGAGGGGTTAGAGAGGTGGAGGTCAAGGAACTCCTCATGGGAGTCCTCAGAGAGGGAGGTGTGGAAGGCGCGGATGACCGCAGGTGCCGCTACTGGTGCCGCTGCTGGTGCCGCTGCTGGTGCTGGTGCGGATGCCGCTGCTACCGCTACACTCGCTGCTGCTGGCGCCGCTGCTGGTGCCACTGCGGTGGCTGCTGTTGGAGCTGCTGCTGCTGCTGCTGCTGCTGGAGAGGTGGTTGAGGGGGCTGGATGCAAGACAGCCTAGAAGAAGTGGTGAAGGAGGGGGGAAAGAGGAGGAAGGGTAGAGGTAGAGAGGGTAACAGGGGGCGGTGCACCAAGGATACTGTCGCGTGACCTGGTGTGAGAATACCGGGTGAGTATGGTGCGGGGAGTGGGGGAGGGAGGTGAGGGTTGGGAGGGAGGGGGAGGAGGGGCACCAGGGGAGGAGTGAGTGGGGGAGGCAGGGGAAGACAGGGGGTCCGGGTCAAAGATGTCACCAGACGAGGGGGGGGCACCATGGGACTGGGAGGGCGGAGGGGGAGGGGGGGGGAGGATGGGGGGAGGAGGGAGGAGAGGGGGAGGGGTGGTGTCAGACCAGACAAGGGGACGAGTCAGAGGTGGGAGTGGGTTAGTGGACGGAGGAGAGGAATAGTACGGGGTGGATTCGTCAAAGACGACATCTCTGCTGCAAATGAATCGACCGGAAGGGGGGTGCAGGAAAAGATAGTCGGGGGAAGAGGGGTTATGACCAAGGAAGATGCAAGGAAGGGTACGAGGGGCAAGCTTTCCCAGGGAACGAGATCGGTCAGACGGGTGAATGAGGATATATGCCTTTGAGCCCCAGACTCGAAGAGGGGAGACATCGGGTTTGTCCTTTGTCCATAGCTCTGTGGGGGTGGTGGAGGGGAGGAGGGGGTGAGGGTAAAGGTTAGTAAGGAGGGCGGCATGAAGGAGGGCGTAGCCCCACAGAGAAGGGGGGCATGAGGCGTGGACAAGAAGACACCGAGCCGTTTTGGTGATCTCCCGAACACGGCTCTCAGCGACACCGTTCTGCTGTGGGGAGTGAGGGAGGGTGTAAGTCTGAAGAATGCCACAGGAATGGCAATAGGAGGAGATTTGGTTATTAAGGAACTCACCACCACCATCAGAGTGGAGGCGGCGAACAGGGCGCCCAAAGTGGGTGTTTGCCTGTTTGAGCCAGGCAATGATCGCAGTCGGGGCGTCCACCTTTGTCCGAAGGAGAGAGACGGACGAGTACCGACTGTGATCATCGACGAGCACGAGAAGGTAGCGATGGCCTTGGCGAGTGGGGGAGGGGTTAGGGCCCCAGAGGTCCATGTGAACAAGATCAAGTGGCTGGGCAGCAGCGGAGGGGGAGCTCCGGTGCGGCTGCTGCTTGAGCTTGCTCTGAACACAGACGACGCAAGGGGGGGCAGGGGACTTTGGGAGGGGAGGGAGGGAGGAGGGGAGACCGTGGAGGAGACCGGAAGATACAGAGGAGCGCAGAGTGGCGAAGTTGGGGTGACCTAGCCTGTGATGGAGGAGGATGGCAGGGTGGGAGAGGGAGCGACATGAGCAGTCAGAGTCAGGGGGGCGAGGGGGGACGGGTGGGTTAGTGGGAGGGAGGGCAGGAGGGGGGGGGGAGGAGGGGGGGGGGAGGCAACTTGGAAGGTGAGGGGGCGAGGAACCCGAAGGGTGTACAGATGGGAGCGGGGACAGTAGGGAATGCGGGAGAGGAAGCGACCTGTGGAGGTTTGGTAAAGGTCACAATGGTTAGCACCACCTGGGGTGACAGTTGTGATCATGGATTGTTGGAGGGACCTTTGGGAGAGGAGGTTGGTGCGAAGGGAGGGAATGTGAAGACTTGTGACAGTACCTGAGGGAAAGAGAGGACAGGGAAGGGTGGACGTGTTGTGACAGGGGATGGAAAAGCTGCTATCAGCGCCGAGGAGGGACGTGGGAGTGGGGAGAGGATGGAGTTTGCCGGCATCGCGAAAGACATTGTAAGTGGCTCCACTGTCCAAGACGAACTCAAGGGTGGAGGAGGGTGAGGCGGAGTACTGAATTGAAGTTTCATTAATAGCAGAGGCATACATAGGGGATGCGACAGAAGGAGACTGACTAAGCAGACCAACAAAGCCAGAGGAGGGAAAGGGGGTCACAGTGCCACCAGTAGACGGTGCAGGGGATGGACCGGAGAGGTGGGCCGCGGAGGCCGCATTCCCGGCGGTCCAGCCGGGAAACGACTACTGCTGGGGGACAGGAGGAGGGAGGAGAGGAAGCTGGGGCTGGAGGTCAAGCTGCTGCTGAAGCTGCTGCTGGAGCTGATGAAGCTGCTGCCCGTACTGCTGCGGCCCCTGCTGCTGGACACTCGGGTGCTGCTGCTGCTGCTACTGGTGAGAGGGGAGAGCAAAGGCCTGGTGGGCATGGGAGGATGAGGAAGGGGCGTAAAGGGGAGAGGTGCGGACATCGAGGGGAGTGGGGGGGGGGGTTGAGGGCGGACCAGCGAGGAGGGGTGCCAGAGTTCCCGCGAGCGAACCACTCATCACTGAGTGCCTTGAAGCACGTCTCAGTCGCATGAGTGGTATGGTTGCAGCGTTGGCCTCGGGTGGGGCCATAGAGGGGAAGATACTGACAGGGTGGGAAGGCCGCTGCTGCACCACGACCCGCACCACCACGACCGCCAGAGCCGCCTCAACCACCACCACGCCCACCTCCACGCCCCGCTCCACGCCCGCCTTTGCTGCTGCGCTGCTGTGCTGCTGCGGCAGTGGAGGAGGAGTGGCGCAGGATTTCAGCGTCAGTGGTGATGATCCATTGCGCAACTTGAGCGGGAGTGTCATGCTTGGAGAGGAGTTGCATGTATGCCAGATTATGGGCATCGAAGGCAGGAGTGAGACCCTCGAGAAGGTGGCAGCAGATGACGGTTTCAGGGTAGACAACACCGAGCTGCAAGGCGGCGAGCGAGGTCAAGGACGCGGCGAGTAAAGGCAGCTGCGCCGGCGGTGGAATCCATGGTGATGGATCCGAATTCCTTAATGAGTGCATAGAGAGTGGCGATGTCCTGTTGGTCAAAGAGGTCGACAAGCAGTTGCCACAGGTGGGAGGAGGAGGTGGGGGAGAGCTCTCGTTTGAGGGAGGAGGGGATGGTGGCGAGGAGGATAGCGAGGGCTCGACGATCAGTAACGCGCCACGCAGCGATATCAGTGGTGTAGGTGGTGAGGCGGGTAGTGTAAGTGGCGATCTGGGCTTGGTATTCACGGTGGCGGGCAGCAGCACTGTCGTAGATGCGCTTGTCATCGTCGTAGCGCAGTTGGCGGCGAAGGTGGTCGTTGAGTGAGGTGCGATAGGCACAAATGGCAGACTCCACGCTTTGTGGGTTGTGAACATCCGGCGCGAAGGAGGGGGGATCACCAGGAGGCTCGGGCTCGGGTCCGGGCTCATCGGGAGCAGGTCCAGTGGGGGCGGAAGGGGCGATGGGCTGGAGTCCACCCTCCTCCTGGAACACGACGGAGCGAAGGGTATATCCACTGAAGATGACCGAGGAGAGCAATACCTCGACGGAGTGAGCATAGGAGTGCCAGTTGGCGGCCGAGTTGTCGCCCAGCAGCTCGAGAGCGTCAATGGTCGCTAGATCGACCGATAAGTCCGACGACGCCATGACGGCGGAGGGGTGAAGGCGCCGCTGCTGATGCCGCTGCTGCCGGTGCTGGTGCCACTGCTGCTGCCGCTACCGGTGCCGCTGCTGCTGCCGTTGCTGCTGCCACCGCCGATGCCGCTGCTGCTGCCGCCGCCGATGCCGCTGCTGCTGCCGCCGCCGATGCTGCTGCTGCTGTCGTCGTCGATGCTGCTGCTGCTGCCGCCGCTGCTGCCGCTGCCGGTGTTGCTGCTGGAGCCGCCACTGGAGCCACTGGTGCTGCCGCTGCTGCTGCCGCCGTTGATGCCTGTGCTGGTGGTGCCGCCACTGCTGCTACTTCCAGTGCCGCTGCTGGTGCCGCCACTGCTGCTGCTGCTGGTGCCGTTAAGGGTGGAGTAGGGGGAGGAGGTAGGGGGGGGAAGAGAGGCTGGTGCGGAAGTGTGGGGAGGGGCGCGGGTGTGGGGCAGGATAGGGGGAGGAGGGAGGATTAGGGTTGCGGGGCTGTGGAGGTCGCGGGCAGACGAACGCGACGGCGCGCAGGTCAGCCGCGGCTCCGCGCCAGCCGTCCGCGTCGGCGCAGGGTCGTCGGCAACCGCGCGCTGGCCGTCCGCGTAGGCGCGCGGTTCGTTCGTGGCCGCGTGATGGCCGTCCGCGTCAGCGCGCGGCTCGTCGGCGGTCGCGCGCTGGCCGTCCGCGTCAGCGCGTGGGTCGTCGGCGGTCACTCGCTGGCCGGCCGCGTTGGCGCGCAGGTCGCTGGCGACAGCGCGCTGACCGTCCGCGGAGGCACGCAGGTCGTCCGCGGCGGCGCGCAGGTCATCCACGTCAGCGCGCTGGTCGCCCGCGACACCGCGCAGGTCGTCCGCGTCGCCGCGCTGGTCGTCCGCGCCGGCGCGCAGATCAGACGCGTTGGCGGGCAGGTTGAGGCGTGGCGACGGGGGGGAGGGTTGCTGCCACGGGGGAGCGGTTTGAGGCCGTGTAAGGACAGGTTGAGACCGTGAGAGGGAGAATTGAGGCCGCGGGAGGGAGGATTGAGGCCGCGGGAGGGAGGATATAGGCCGCGGGAGGGAGGATTGAGGCCGCGGAGGAGGAGTTCTAGGCCGCGAAAGGCTAGATCTGAGGTGCGGGTGGACCAATGTAGGCCATATTCCTCTAGGGTAAAGGAGCGGAGAGTAAATTGCAGTCTAAGGATCAAGGGAAGGTGGCGTGAGCCATTTGGCTCTGAATACCATGTTAGAATTCAAGAATGATTGAGTAATGAGCCAAGGAGGCTCTATAGTACAAGCATGCAAGGAAGAGAGGAGTGGAGGAGGAGCTAACCCTATTGGCCACTAAGTTGGCCAATGGGTGAGGTGCCTTGTGGAGTAGGAAACCCCACAATGTAGATAGGATGTGATTGGTTGGTGTTTGGACCAAAAGTTGGCAAGTGCCAACCAAGGACCAAGACCAAATCCAATCTTGACGAACCACAAAGTGTGGTTGGAGTGTACACCCAAACACCCAAGAACATAAGGGACTACACCTATTCTAGCCTATGAATATTGAATATAATGTACATTTACAACACTCCGATCCCTCCGCACTCACATCTCTCCGCACTCAGATCCCTCTGCACTCAGATCCCTCTGCACTCACATTCCTCCGCACTCAGATCCCTCCGCACTCAGATCCCTCTGCACTCAGATCCCTCTGCACTCAGATCCATCTGCACTCAGATCCCTCCACACTCAGATCCCTCCGCACTCAGATCCCTCCGCACTCAGATCCCTCCGCACTCAGATCCCTCTGCACTCAGATCCCTCTGCACTCAGATCCCTCTGCACTCAGATCCCTCCGCACTCAGATCCCTCCGCACTCAGATCCCTCCGCACTCAGATCCCTCTGCACTCAGATCCCTCTGCACTCAGATCCCTCTGCACTCAGATCCCTCTGCACTCAGATCCCTCCGCACTCAGATCCCTCCGCACTCAGATCCCTCCGCACTCAGATCCCTCTGCACTCAGATCCCTCTGCACTCAGATCCCTCCGCACTCAGATCCCTCCGCACTCAGATCCCTCTGCACTCAGATCCCTCTGCACTTAGATCCCTCTGCACTTAGATCCCTCCGCACTCAGATCCCTCCGCACTCAGATCCCTCCGCACTCAGATCCCTCCGCACTCAGATCCCTCTGCACTCAGATCCCTCTGCACTCAGATCCCTCCGCACTCAGATCCCTCCGCACTCAGATCCCTCTGCACTCAGATCCCTGTGCACTCAGATCCCTCTGCACTCAGATCCCTCCGCACTCAGATCCCTCCGCACTCAGATCCCTCCGCACTCAGATCCATCCGCACTCAGATCCCTCGGCACTCAGATCCCTCCGCACTCAGATCCCTCTGCACTCAGATCCCTCTGCACTCAGATTCGTCCGCACTCAGATCCCTCCGCACTCAGATCCCTCCGCACTCAGATCCCTCCGCACTCAGATCCTTCCGCACTCAGATCCCTCTGCACTCAGATCCCTCCGCACTCAGATCCCTCCGGACTCAGATCCCTCCGCACTCAGATCCCTCTGCACTCAGATTCCTCCGCACTCAGATCCCTCCGCACTCAGATCCCTCCGCACTCAGATCCCTCTGCACTCAGATTCCTCCGCACTCAGATCCCTCCGCACTCAGATCCCTCCGCACTCAGATCCCTCTGCACTCAGATCCCCTCACACTCAGATCCCTCTGCACTCAGATCCCTCCGCACTCAGATCCCTCCGCACTCAGATCCCTCCGCACTCAGATCCCTCTGCACTCAGATCCCTCTGCACTCAGATCCCTCCGCACTCAGATCCCTCCGCACTCAGATCCCTCTGCACTCAGATCCCTCTGCACTCAGATCCCTCTGCACTTAGATCCCTCCGCACTCAGATCCCTCCGCACTCAGATCCCTCCGCACTCAGATCCCTCCGCACTCAGATCCCTCTGCACTCAGATCCCTCTGCACTCAGATCCCTCCGCACTCAGATCCCTCCGCACTCAGATCCCTCTGCACTCAGATCCCTGTGCACTCAGATCCCTCTGCACTCAGATCCCTCCGCACTCAGATCCCTCCGCACTCAGATCCCTCCGCACTCAGATCCATCCGCACTCAGATCCCTCGGCACTCAGATCCCTCCGCACTCAGATCCCTCTGCACTCAGATCCCTCTGCACTCAGATTCGTCCGCACTCAGATCCCTCCGCACTCAAATCCCTCCGCACTCAGATCCCTCCGCACTCAGATCCTTCCGCACTCAGATCCCTCTGCACTCAGATCCCTCCGCACTCAGATCCCTCTGGACTCAGATCCCTCCGCACTCAGATCCCTCTGCACTCAGATTCCTCCGCACTCAGATCCCTCCGCACTCAGATCCCTCCGCACTCAGATCCCTCTGCACTCAGATTCCTCCGCACTCAGATCCCTCCGCACTCAGATCCTTCCGCACTCAGATCCCTCTGCACTCAGATCCCTCCGCACTCAGATCCCTCCGGACTCAGATCCCTCCGCACTCAGATCCCTCTGCACTCAGATTCCTCCGCACTCAGATCCCTCCGCACTCAGATCCCTCCGCACTCAGATCCCTCTGCACTCAGATCCCTCCGCACTCAGATCCCTCCGCACTCAGATCCCTCCGCACTCAGATCCCTCTGCACTCAGATCCCCTCACACTCAGATCCCTTCGCTCCGCACTCAGATTTCTCCGCAAACCATCCTGCAACCCCTCCTGCGACTCCAGCACCTCTATCTGCACTGCCAGACAGAGAGAGTACATGCTCTTGGGTGCTCTCCCCCCTCCTCCTCTTCTCTCGTCTCTTCCACCTCCCTTTCCTCTCCCCAATTTGGAGGGCCGTGCTACAGATTTCCTTGCTACTGGTTACTGGCATGCGGTTACTGGTCCCCCGCCCACTTTCCCCCCTGCCTCGCTTGTTGGCCCAATGCTTCCCCACCCAACCGGTCCTCCCTTTCCCCCGCGTTTCCCCCTGTGCACGCCCCACGTCCCTCTGCGCCTTCCCCGCACCAGCAACCTTGCTGTGGCGAACGGGCCAGCCCAGTGCTCCGCCTCCCAGCCCGACGCGCCTCCCCGCCGCCGCGAGTCACAGCCACGGCGGGAGAGGGAGGTGGGGAAACGCTCGCAACGGGAGGGGTTTCGCGGGCGCCGATGCGGCGGAGTGGGCAAAATGGGCGGCCCTTTGCCGTGTGATCGAAAGGAATCGATGCCGCGCCACGCCACCTGCATCCACGCTGGCACCACCCCCGTCGGTGTGTTCCAAGTGATTTCAGGTCCAGAAACCGTGCTAGTGATATCGCCACCGTACGATGATTAGCAATTATGTCGTGCGCAGAATCATCAGCCGTACGATCAGTATACAAGCCCTCTAGGAATGCCTCTCGCGGCAGGTTCTTCAGGCCGTTCATGGCCATCCGTTCGGTCCAGCTCATCGCCGTTCAAAGCGATACGAGCAGGTGCATCCCTGGGAGTGCGCTGGGTGACGTGTCCTTCTGCTTTGTAAGGCGTTTCCAGCACGTACGTTTTCATATCGTTGCGGGTCAATCGCTGCACATCGGTTTCTAGTTTTTTTTTCCGTTTTGCATCGTAACGGAGCACGGTCAATCATACAGAATGAGCTTTAAACGACTTGGAAAGAAGTTACGGCGCCAACTGTTGACTGAAAAAATAGTTTAGCATTCCAAAAGGTGTAACACTACCGCACCTGCCACTAGGGAAGCAACACCTGTACCACCACCACGTTTGCCCATAGGGCACACATGTTAAAAGTCGCAGATCAACTGTCGCGACTGTTGACCGATTTGGATCAAGGCTGCAAAGTTTGTCAAACTGTACATGTTATACTTCATTATTTAGGCTGTAGTGGGGTAGCAAATGTAGGGTACAACCCTTTAGGGTTTTCTCTTGTACCAAATTCTCACGATAGTCTCATCATTCCTAGCTACCTATTGAACATGGTATTAAGAGCATATAGGGTCTTAGGACCTTATGACGAATTTTTTTTTTTCGGGCCCACCACTTACCACCTGCCCGTGTCGCGCTACCACGCGCTCTGCCCTACCCCAGTCCCGCGCGCGCCCTGCTAGAAGCACGCACGGCCCGCGCGTCGCCTCTGCTGGCCCGCGCGTCGCCTTAACTCGCCCGCGCGCCACCCTCTAGTAGCCCGCGCGACCCGCCTGCTGTCCGCCCAGCCCGCACGCAGCCCCGCTAGCCCGCGCGCCGCCTGCCTGCTACCCCGCGCGCCCCGAGAGCTGCTTGTCGCGATGCCACACAGCCCCGTGTGTGAAAGAATGAGGAATTAATGCACTACGAAACAGGTCAGTACAACTAGGAAAACCTGAAAGTGTTGTACCCCATATTGTCTACCCGACTACAGCCTACACAGACTATAGTATATAAGTTTGACACACCCCCATAGGCAAAGTGGGGGAGAACAAGAGGTCACAAGACCACTCATGCAAAGCAAAGCAATTTCAGGGTGGATCACAACGTCACCACACAGTCCGAGCACAAGTTCAAGGCCACAAGGCCAGTTCACATGCAAGATCATATATAAAGGTAAACAAGCAAGTGCAGGTATAGAAAGATCACAGTACAAGCAAGGTCAAGAAGTGAGCAAGTGAGGCCAACTAGGCACAAGACCTAGCATCCTACAGCAGCGCTGATGATCACAAGGCGGAAGTGCCTTGGTAAAGATATCAGCAGTGTTGGCCTCAGAGGCCACGTAAGCACGGCGCAGCTGACCACGCTGTTGCAGCTCACGAGCAAGGAAGTAGCGGAGAGCAATGTGCTTCGTTCTGTGCTTCAGTCTGTGCTCCCGACACAAGGCCAGCATGGCCTTGTTGTCTACGTATAGAACTGGAGGAGAACGAGGCGGCTCTCCTAGGTCAGTCAGCAGGTAGGTGAGTCAGCGTAGCTCCTGTGCAGCCATGGCCCCCGCTTAGATCTCAGCCTCACAGCTGGAGCCATGAACAGGAGACGAGCGGGTAGACCGCCACGAAACAGAGCCGGAACCAAGGCTGAAGGTGTAACCCTGTGACGACCACTGCGTAGCCTGGTCGTCTGCCCAAGAAGCGTCTGCATGACCTGTGAGGACCACTGAACGCCGCCCTCCAAGCACTAGCCCCATGCCCGACGTACTGCACAAGTAGCGCAACACACTCTTCGCTGCAGCCATGTGCTCTGGTCAGTGTCTCCCAGGAGCAACATAGCGTGCCAAGATGCTAACAGGGTATGCAAGGTCAGGTTGTGTCCAGGTCATCAGGTACATGAGGCAGCCAACAAGCTCTGGGTACGGGCCACTCGGCTCTACGGACTCATCCGAAGGCAGAGCTGAGAGCGAGTGGCGAGTAGAAAGAGGAGTGGCCTGAGGCGAGAAGTACGTGAAGTCGAAGCGCTGAAGGACCTGCTGCACCATGTGTGACTGAGTCGGAGTAATAGTGCGCTGTGCTCTGTCTCGGGTGATCTGCAAGCCAAGGTAGCTGCGCAGTTCACCTAGATCTGTGCACGTGTGTCTCTTCTGCAGCTCGGACTAAATGTGGGCGAGTCCAGCAGAGTCAGCAGTGGCAAAGACCAAGTCGGGGGGTAGCAGTGCTATAACTTTAATAAAATATAGGAATGCACCTAACCTAGGAAATCAAGCATATCTATGCATGACAAAATAAACCCAAGCTAGATATAGCATAATAAAGTCCATGCAAGCTGGCAAAGCTAGCATAAGCTGTCGTACTCTCACAGTGAGTCCGTATAGATCGCCACAAGCTCACCCCCAAGAGTAGTCACAGTGACAAAGTGGTCTTGGAGGAGAGCGTTACTCACCAAGTTGTTAGAGAACGAGGGGTGGTGGAAACCTGTGAGGGAGCCTGAGGGGGCTGCTGGACACGGGAGAACGGTGGAGGCACGTGCTACGACTGGGCTCCCAGATTGGTCAGCCAGAGAGACCGGGACATGTGCAGTAAGCGATGTGACAGTGGTGCAGTCGCAGAAGTAGCGAGTCACGCCGGGGTCAAGCGTGAAGGTGTGCAAAGCCTCCACAGAAACTGCACCTATGCTACCGCGCTCACTGGCACCTAGACTAGTAGCCTCTGCACTACCAGGGACGCGTCACAGAGAAACCCACTCGCGAAGCTGCTGTGGCGAGAGGGTTTCCTGCTGACGCTGCTGTCGCTGCTGTCCAGTACCTCCAGCACCATAACCTCCACCACCAGGACGGCCTCGCTGACTTGCCCACTCACGAAGCTGCTATGGGAGAGAGTCTCCTGGCGACAAGACAACCGCTGCTGTCCAATACCTCCAGCACCTCCTTTTCCCAAGCTTCAGCACCAGAGCGGCCTCGCCTGCGGCGATAGAGTCTCCGGCTGACGCTGCTGCGGCTGCTCTCCACCGCCAGACGCTGCTACGACCGTGATAGTGGCCATGACAGGCAGTGGCAGTCAGTAGCAGCGGCGCAAGGGCGTCAGAAGCGACTGCTGTAGCTGCAGCTGTAGCAGTAGCGGTAGTCGCTGTGGCTGCAATAGCAGTAGCGACTGTTGGAGTGGCTGTGGAGGCCAGTAGGGTGCGTGGGCAGCAGTGCACGGGCTAGCAGTAGGGCACACGTGCAGCAAGGCGCGCAGGGCGCGGGCAGCGCAGGCACGTGGGCGGTAAATCAACGCGGGCTGCAGGGCAGGGCAGCGCGCGGGTTGCAGTGCTACGCGAGCAAGGCAGCGCACGGGCTGCAGGGCGTGCGGGCAGGCGGGCAGGGCAGCGCGCGGGCTGCAGTGCAGGGTAGCGCGCGGGCTGCAGGGCAGGGCGGGGCGCGGGCTGCAGGGCAGGGCGGGGCGCGGGCTGCAGGGCTGCGCGGGCAGGGCAGCGCATGGGCTGCAGGGCAGGGCGGCGCACGGGCTGCAGGGCAGGGCAGCAAGCGGGCAGGTCGCAGGCAGCTGCACGCCCAGATAGCGCCTAGGGCAGCGCGCAAGCCAGGGCAGGGCAGCGTTTAGGGTGCTATGAGGGCAGGGCAGTTACGATTGGGCAGGGCAGGGCAGGAAAAACGGGCAGTTCGTACGGTTGGTGGGCCCTAACGGAGCAGGCCTACGGAGGGACCTGCTCTGAATACCATGTCAGAACTAGCAGGCAAGAATGATGGACTAGTAGCATGAGATGAGTACAAGTACTAGATCTAACCCTAAAGTGTTGTACTCAGTAGAGGCTACCCCACAACATCCTACAGATATACAAACACAGTTTGACAAAAGTTACACCACATGGCATACGGTATCCTCGTTCATATCAATCCTTCCACGAGAATTGATCCTTGGGTGTGCGTTTGACTGGCGGTGGTGCAGCTGTCCCATTGCGAGGCATGAGCCCCGCACGGTACCCAAACCGTGGCCACGGCTCCTTCTTGTCCGCAAACCCGTACCTCTGCCCGTCCACAATGTACGGCCACTCTGAGCCCTCCTGCGCCACCCGAACCAGGTGCTGAGGGTCGGGTTGAGGGAGGGTCCAGGCTTTGGCGGGGTACTGGAAGGTCTTCTCGGCCTCGGCGTGCATGTGCCACACCCACACATCCGTGGCGTCCCGTGCTATGGGCTGCAGGTATGCGGGCGACGGCAGCAGGCGCGACAGGAACGTCGTCTCCAGATAGCTGCGGGGCGCACGGGAAGGGGTTCATTGGCGGGGTCACAGCATGCACGTGAAAACGACGCAGTGGAAGAGGAATGTGTTGGCGGGAGAGAGTGGTTGTGCATGGCAACATGGTAAGCTGAACATGATGAATGAGCTTCGTACACGCAGGAAGATGTGGTTATGAATGCGTGCAGGTGTGGTGCGAGGAGCGTGGGAGGATGAGATTGTGAGAGGAGCACTGACCCTCCCCAGATGGCCTGGAAGCGAACAGGGTGGCGCGGGTAGCCGGGGATGGAGGTGAGGCGCGTCCACAGCAGACGCGAGCTGCAAGCCCAAGAGGCAGATCATATCAGAGCAGGGAGTGGGAGTGGAGAAGGTTATGAGAGGGAGTCGAGCAGAATGCGTGTTTGACACAGTTGCTCGTTATAGAATGGCATGTCCTATCATCACTTACCCTTCTCCCCAATGTCCCCCCCCTCTATTCCCCCACAATGCACTCTCCACATCACCCACGCCCCTGCCCTCTCTCCATCTCGTCCTCTCACACCCTTCCTCTGGCCATGCCAACCCCCACCCAGCGCGCACCTGAAGGCGAAGCCAGCCATGTCGGAGCAGAAGGAGCGGTAGGCGCCGCCGCGCTTGCCCTTGGGGATGGACCACTCGAACGTCTCCCACCCCACCACGCGCGCCACTCCGTCGCTGGCGCGCTGCACCAAGGGGCGCTCCACAAAGGGGCGCGAGGGCTTGCCGGGGTTGACTGCTGCGTAGTCGGCTGAGAAGAGAAAGCCCACCGGGAACACGCCCACCACCCTGATCGCCCTCACCTCCTCCAACAGCTGCCGCCGCGCACGGGAGGGCAGGTGGGGAATGAGAGATGGGGGAAAGGGGATGGGATGAGTACATGCGGTTTGTGTGGACTGCGAATTGGATGTTGAGCTGAAACAGCAACAGATGGTCGCACACATGGGAAGTACGGGAGCGGAGTTGCGGTAGGAAAGGGAGGGAGGGAGGGAGGGAGGGAGGGAGGGAAGAAGGTGGGGAGGGAGGGAGGGAGGGAGGGCAGCAGCAGCAGTAGCAGCAGCAGTGGGCAGGGTACCTGAGGGGCGTAGACGTTGTCGTCATCAGCAAAGTAGATGACCCCATCCATGCGGTGCGCCTCTATGTGCTGCAGCGCTGCGTTGCGCTGTGCCACCGCCTTGTTCCACTTCGCCATCTCCCTCTGCTCCCCACCAGTATGGCTCGCACACACACACGCTCGCGCACTTGCACACGCACACATCGCACATGCACACACAAACACATGCGTGGGCACACACACCCTCCTCCCCCCACCCCCCACACACAACAAACATGGGAATGGCAGAGATATGTGGCAAGGCCAATCATGTTGGTCACATGTCCTACAACTTCCCCCCCCGATGACTTCCGCGGCCCCTAATACTCTCCTCCACTCACCACAAACATGGCATGGCCCCTTCCCCCCATGCTCCCCCCCTGCTCTTCCCCATGCGCATGGCACACACCGTGCCAGCAGCGAGGTGCAGGAAGTTGACGGTGCGGCACGCGGGGTCCCCATGTGGCAGGCACTGTGCTGCTGTCTGCTTCAGCGCCTGCGCCGTCTCCTCCGTCTGTGCCGCACACCATGGGAGGGTGGGCAGAGTGGGAAGGAGGTGCTGCGAGGGTTGCTTTCATGCTTCAGCACACCCATTTACAAGCACATACCTACAGAAACACACAACACACACGCACACACACAGAATTCCACCAAACACACAGCACACATGCAAGCATGCACACACGCACGCACACCCCCACGCACACAACACACGCACATGACGCACACACAATACCACACACCCACACGTGCACGCACCTTGTTGGCGCCCTCCACCACAATCCACAGCAGCGGGGGGGCAACGGCGCGCAGGGTGTTGGCGAGGTGCGAGAGGTAGAGCGCCTGGTACGCACGCGGGTACGTGGGCGTCACCACCATCACCAGCCGCTTCCCCACCAACTCCCCCTCCGCCCCTTGCTCCCCCGCTCCATACACCGCAGCTGCTGCCGCCGCTGCTGCTGCTGCATCGACAGGATCTGATTCTGCAGGTGCAGTGACGGCAGCGGCGGCAGTAGGTGTTCCCGCTGACCCGCCATTACTGCTGCCACCGCTCTCCCCTGTGGTGGTGGCGCCAAGGAGCGTGGGAGTGGGACTTGCGGTAGCAGGCGCGCGCGCAGGCGTGGGGAGTGCCTTAGCGACAGCAGGTGCAGCAGAGCTGCTGGTGGGCGATGAGGAGGAGGCGGAGGGGGAAGAGCGGAGAGGGAAGGGCGTGACCGTGCCAGTGGTGGTGGCGCTGCTGGTTGCCCCGCCTGCTGCAGTGAGGGGTGGCGGATACACAGGGCGGCGAGGGAGGGGGGAGAGCACATGCGTGGTGAGGGCGGGACTAGCGGACAACGAGAGTGGTAAGAGCGACGTGGAGGATGGGGAAAATGAGGGTCATGCTGGGGTGGTGAGAGGATGCGAGCAGTGTGAGGCAGCGCAAGGGGGCGGACATGCATGGCGGGAAGGGAGAACACGAGAGGAGATTGTGGAGAGGCAGAGCGCGGTGAAGGTTGCCATGGGAATCACGGCCACCCACGGGGAGTGAGTGCACAGGGTGTGCATCAGGGAGGGCACATGTGGGATACAGCAAGTGGTGGACCTCCGTGCGTGTGATCAGTACCTCCGTGCGTGTGATCAGTACCTCCGTGCTCACCGCCTCGTGCTGTCATGTCCCATGTGCCTTGCGCTGACCAACGAAGGTTCAGTAGCCGCCGTCGATACCCCTGCCGTTGCTGCCGCTGCTGCTCGCTTGGCCATGACTGGTGTGGCACGCGTCCTCGCATGTGCTGCTGCACCCTGCCATCGCTGTTCCCACTGCGTGCACGCTTCTCAAAGGTCCCCTGGCCCCCATCGCCTACGCTCAACACCGTATCTCCACTCCTCCTCGCTCCCCGAATCAACCACCCGCGCCCACCACCGTGCCCCACTCCTTGCGAGCGACCCTGTACCGTTTCCTCCCAGCGGCCCGACCCCTCTAATCCATCTGCCCGCACTAATCGCTCTAACCGCCCAGACGGCTCGATGGCCTCCGCGTGCTCCGCCTCGTGGGACTGCGTCGTGTCACTGGACTGCGCTGACGTCACTACCGAGCCCGCTTGTCGCTGCGTGCTGCTCGCTTGTATTGCGTGGAGCGATAGCAGGTGCAGCAGCAGGAGGCGCAACAGCAGCGGAACTAAAGGCGCGTTGAAACAAGGCTGACCGGAGAGTCGCACGCCCATGCTCACTCCTCCAACAAGGACGTCCAGCTCAGCGGCAGCGCCGCCACAGGGTGAAGCTGGTCGCGCGGCGAGGAGAATCGAGGCGCCGCAGCGCGGGAGGGCACGCGGCTGCTGGACTCCGCCGCCCCTTGAGCGCGCCGCGATTCACCTGGTCATCGCTGGCGTCGTCCCCGGTAGTGCTCGATCCCGCACATCACATGCGACAGACGCCTTAGGACAACGCGGCTTATGGAACGGCTGGAGTCGTTGAGCTACGCGCGCACAATCGCAGCTCAATCAAAGGCACTCGGATCCTCGCGGGTGGCGCTGACACTGATCAATAGTTGGCTCACTAGCAGGCGACGGCGGGGAGAGGAATCTGATGTGAAGCGAAGACCACCTGTGGATTTTTTCACCTACTGGCGTACTTCAACCGACTTCGGCAGAACCAGTGCTCTTCTGTGGCGTGCAATCTAGGTTCCCGTTTGTGTGTAAACGCGTATCATTTCTGTACATCAGCAATACTCACGGGTACTAAGGAAAAATTTGCCTATATAAACCAGAGTCTAGTATCCACGCAATGTTTCATTTCCTATCCGATTCATCAGGTCGAGTGCGTTTCTGTGATAAGTATAAGCCCATGTGTCTGATATTGAAGTAGGCAGCGATTGTTTGATAGATAACGAGGACCGTTGAAGACTGGTCATAGCCAGGACAACCTCTACCGTCATCGCCCGGATAGAAGACAGCGTTGAATAGTAGACAGCGTTGAAGTAGACAGGAGTTGTCTATTATCCGGGTGTTTCTTATAAACAGGCTAGCCTCATTATAAGACACCTATTTGTGTGTATGAGTTAAGCCAGTGTGGGGGTTAGGGGCAATTGTATAGCGAGGGGGTATCTTCTAAACGGTTCTTTGTCCATTTATAAGACTTACAAGGGCGTGTTCCTACAGCCCCTTATCAGGCGACCTCTTGTCAGACTTGTGCGGTTCAATGCGATCGAATGTTACCGTAAGCTCCCGGATAGTAGACCCCCCGGAATACAAGACCCTCGGGTCTGTGTTACGGGGGTGGGTCTTTTATTTTGGCAGGTTTTCACTATACCCCCCCCTAGAGGAGTAAACAATACTAGACCCCCTTCCTTATGGTTGTCACTAGTTCATAATGGGAATAAGATGTCTTTTCAAGTGCTTCACTAGCAAGACAAGCTTGACACCAATGCAACCTATTCACGGTTTGCATTTCAGAGATTTAGGGGGCAACAAGGGGTGAAAGGATTGACATGCCTCCCATTGAACAGTAGGGGTTGCTGCACGGGCCACCGTGCAGCCCCTGCGCTCGAGCCGTGCATGTGTCAGGGTGTCGAGGTGGGATGGCACGCTGACGAGCCACAATGCGAACCTCAATGCTGGAATGTGGTAACGTGCGATTTTGGCCAATGAGAAGGCCACAAACTGATTCCCCTATGTGATGTGGCTACATCGCAGAAGTCGCACATGTGCTGCCCAAACAACAGGGAAAAAGAATGTCAAGCATCCTCATCAATGAGGCATTCGATTACGTACACCTTTAAAAATTATATAAATTTAATAAGACCCGGGTACTAAACAATCTTGTGCCGTTGACAAAACCCCCCCCTATTTTTTTTTATGAATTTTACATAAGACCCTAGGGTCTACTATCCGGGAGATTACGGTATTATGCGCGTTTCAGTGCGGTGCGACGCGAATCTGACAAGAGGTTCGCCTGATAAGAGGCCGTAGGAACACGCCCTAAGACACCCTAAACCGTCCCAAATACAAGATAACCCAATCATTTTGAGTAGTGTACGAGATAAGGCATATATGTCTTATATCTGGGCGATGACGGTAGAAATTATGCCTACCCAAGTAAGCGTATTGACAGCTAGACTGGCCTTCATGAAGAAGCACCTTGATTAACAGCTTTCCTTGAATCCCGTACACACATGCAGTACCTCTGGGGTATAACATATGGAGACATTTCATTCTCCTTCTCCTTGCCCGTTCTCCCCTTCCGCCATTCACTAGTATCTTGCTTCTGACGACGACCCTCATCCATCCTTAATTGCTGCCTGCCCTCCCCAACACCCCACCTTGCAACCTCCAACGCGGTCACATTCCCCACTCGCTCCCTCGCCGCCATCCTCTCATCTCCCCCTTCCGCGCCCACCTGTCCCCCTGCCTCCAGCTTGTGCTCGGCCTCTCTGCCCGCCCTCACCAGTGCATGCACCGATGCACGGAAGGACGCCCACCTGTGGGGCAGGGGGAATAGGAGGGAGGGTATTAGAGGCAAGTGCGGGTGGGAGCAGCAGGAAGACTGGCAGCACAGCATGCTGGGAGCAGCAGTACAACGAGCATCTCCACCTACTATTCCCAACCGTCGCCCTCTCTCGCGCCCCATACCCGCTCCCACCCTCCAGTCCCACTTGTTGCCCTACCCCATTGTCCCCCACCCCCCACACGGCACCTGAGGTGAGTGTGGGTGAAGAGCTGGGCGAGGCGGCGCTTGTCGGGCTTGAGCACGCCCGCGTGGCCCGCGTGCAGGTAGCGGCGCTGCCCCGTCACCACGTGCCCGAAGTTGGACCCGTGGGACAGCACCACCAGCGGTGCATGCAGCACTATCAGGTAGTCTATCGCCGCCAGCTGCGACGCGTGGTCCTGGCGGGAGCAGAACGCAAGGAGGGGAGTGCAGGTGGGGGTGAGAACGCGAAGCGGTAGAATGAAGAATGGTCATGATCAAGGAAAGAACCTCACAGCAGCTGAACTGAATGGCGCGCAGGTGGAAATTGGGAGTGTTGCAGGTGAGAAGGGTGTAGAGGGGTTGAGTGGGAGACGGAGAAGTGGAAGAGTGCAGGAGAGAATGGGACGGGGAAGTGGAGCGTTCATGAGCTGGCACAAGCACAAAGAACTGGGACATCCAAGAGTGAAGACACAGCACCATCGCATGCAAATCCTGTTCAAGGCTCTTCTAGAAGCTTCCTCGTTTCCGTCGAAATGCCTTGACAAGCACGTATGACATCCATTGGACTTGGGTTCAGATTCCAATGGCACATGGGAGTCGACCTTACACCTACACACCATGCCAAGCCACCCACACCCTTACAATCATGCTCACACACAACACACACACACACACAACACACACACACACAACACACACACACACACACACACACATACACACACACACGCACTCGCCCACACATGCTTTAGGAAAGGAGACCTGGAAGGGGCGCAGTTGGGCGGGCGAGAGCAGGTGTGCTTTGGTGAGGGTGCGCGGGAAGAGTGCTGTGAAGGCGGTCATGAGGCGCTGTGGGCCGTACAGCTCGCCTGACGCAACAAACACGGGCACAGCTGGTGATATGCCCGCCGCCCTCATGAACAACGCCACCTGCACGCCATGGAGAGACAGAGGCACATGCGCATGGTGAGGACAGAACGATGGGGCATGAGCATGGTTTCACAACATTCCCTTGCCATGTGAGGAGGCAACGGGGATATGAATCACAGCATGGATACGGCAATCAGATACAGCCTTGTTGCCATGGCAGCACGCGACAGCACCTCCAGCGGTGAGAGAGGGCAGTGCCCCGCCTCCCTCAATGATCTCGCTGATTCGCCCTCTGCCCCCCCCTCCCCGCTGCCACTGCTGCCCTTCATCTTGCGTCCCACTATGGATCCTACTTTACTGCCCTGCCCTGCCGCTGCCTGCCCCCCCCATCCCAGCGCAGCCTTGAGCCACTCCCACGCGGCTGCAGCGGGGGAGTGGTGGAAGCGGGACCAAGCGAAGGCGCGGTAGCGCTGCAGGTCGCGGTGCAGCGCGGGCGAGGAGGAGAAGGAGCAGCGTGAGAACGCCAGCATGTCCTTCTCAAACCGCACGTGCACCGCCACATACACCGCCTGCGCCCGCCGCCGTGCTGGGGGGCGGATCCACGGCAGCAGGGGGGCAGGCGGCACGTGGGTGGGCGTGGGCAGGAGAGCGGCAGGCAGTGAGCTGACAGGTGGCCCATTGGAGGAGCGAGCAGAGCGAGCGGCAGTGGCAGCGGCGGCGGTTGCGTGGGCGGAGAGGCGGTGGAGGGCGGTGAGGGCAGCAGTGCGGATGGGCGTGAGGAAGCGCAGCGAGTGGAAGTTGCAGCGACAGCGCAGGCGCTGCAGCGAGAGGGGCAGGCCCCGCGAGGAGAGGCGGTTGGCGAATGGGTTCAGGCGCACTGCTCTGATGGGCGGGGGAGAGTGGCGCGGGACGGGGAGACAAGGGTCACATGAGGAGGAGACGTTGGAAGTAGGGAAAAGGTGGTTGCAACAGGGTATATATGATGGATGTTAGACGTTTGCTCTCAGGCCATAACATGCCCCGCATCTCCATTCCTGCCCTGCACCTCCATTCCTGCCCTGCACCACCATTCCTGCCCCGTGACATGGTACAGGAAGCCCCACCTGCCATGGCGACACTCACCCTATGTCCCTCAGCGCAGGCCCCACATGCGCCACATAGTAGTCCGCACTCGCCCACTGGGGCGGGGAGATCTTGGGCGGCAGCAGCACATAGGGCGGCATCAACGGTCGCCGCCCTGTGGCTAGCCCAGCCGCCACGTGCAGTGAGAGGCGGGTGAGGCGGCGCAGGCGGACGGCAAGGGGCGGCGGAGGGAAGTAGTTGGGCGGCACGTGGAAGGAGTTGGGGGGGAGGGTGGGGACGATGGGGAGGAAGGGGGCGAGGTGCGCGATGAAGAATGGCGCATCAAAGATGTCGGCAAACGTGCTGCCATGGGAGGGCGGGGGGGAGGGGACAAGGGGTGGCAGAGATGGGCAGTGGGAAGGCATGGGTGAGGAAGGGAAAGGTTGGACGAAGATGAGAAAGGGGGGAGGTGAGAGATGAGAAAGATGGAGAGAGGGGAGGTAGCAGAGAAGAATGCAACTCGAGAGGGCGCATGATAAGGCCGAGCAAGGAAAGGTGATGAGAAGAGAGGGAGGTGCAGCAGATAAATGGTGGAGGGGCGTGGGTGCACCTGGAGTCGTTCCACACTCTGTTGAGCAGCAGCGTGGGCAGCACCAGCGTGGCGTTCAGCAGTGCTGCCACCGCCACCGCATTGCACACCTGATGGGGTTGGGCGGTTGGGAGAGAGAGTGTGGGGCAAACCGAGCGGGTCGGTTCCTTGGTCGGTTTCTTTGGTCTTTGGTAACATTATTCAGTTCTTTGGTCGGTTTCTCTCCTAACCGAGTGGGAGAGAGAGCGAGAGAGAGAGAGAGAGAGAGAGAGAGAGAGAGAGAGAGAGAGAGAGAGAGAGAGAGAGAGAGAGAGAGAGAGAGAGAGAGAGAGCTAGATCCATGCTTTACTTCCACAGCACTCACCAGCGGAAGAGGAGTCAGACAGGGGGATCCCCACGGACCCCTGCTATTCGCGGCGTCTATCCAGCAGCACCTCAGGCACGTGGCAGCGGAGCACCCGGAAGTTACCGTCCTCGCGTACGCAGACGACATAACCATGATTGGACCCGCGACGGCGACGCTAGACGCGCTAAGGGAGCTCACACCGCTACTAGCACAGGATGGCCTCACCTGCAACTTTATGAAATCGTTGGCGTGGTCCTCCATGCCGCTTGGAGGTGTCGTGCTCCCCGAAGGCCTCCCCCACACCCACGAGGGGGTACGGGTGTTGGGAAGTCCTGTGGGGTCGCAGAGCTCCTGCTCTGCCTTTGTCCGCAGTACCCTGGCAGACGCGGCAGCCCCCTTGGGTTCTCTGGCGTCCATCCACCCACAACATGCCCTCCTGCTACTGTCCCGTTGCATCAGCCGCAGAATCGGCTACCTGCTACGCACTACCCCAGCAGACGTCTTACCCCTCTCGGAATGGCACACATGGTGCTCCGAACTACTGCACACGGCCTTGACCGCCGCCAGCATTCAACCGCCACGCCGAGAAGCCGAGTTCAACTTCTTGCTCCGACAAGCAACCCTTCCAGTCGCCCTGGGCGGGCTGGGACTTACAGACCCCACAACAGAAGCAGCACCGGCCTACCTGGCATCAACGACGGAGGTGCTACGACTGCTCCGCTCCCTTGACCTACCAGCAACCGTGGCACTGGGGGCCAACAACAACACCCTGCAGCCGTCCGCAGCGCACTCGGTAACCATCCAGGACATGGAGGGGCGCCTGCCACCGCTGGCGCTACAAAACCTCCGGGAGGAGCAGCAAACCCCGTCCCAAGACCAGCTGCAACGCGCCCTCTCTCAGGAGGTGCACGCGGCAAAGGCCGACGCCTTGACAGAGGAGTCACGCACCATCCAGTCAGCCCCCGAGATGGGTCACTCACTCCGCCTCATCAGCCTGAGAGGGGAGGGAGCGGGAGCATGGCTGCAGGCCCTACCTTTGACCCCGGACCTTTGCTTCTCACCGGGACAATTCCGAGCAGCCCTGGCCTTCCGCATGGGCATCCGCCAGAATGTACCCACTGTGTGCGAGTGTGGAGAACTCGTAGCCGACTGCAGCCTACCCAACCACCTACTCCGCTGCAGCACAGGCCCCGACAGGACACGCACACACAACCAGCTAGCTTTTGCCGTGGCTAAAATGGCAAGGGAAGCAGAGCTGGTGGTATACCTGGAGAACGCCATGTACTCACCGCCGGATGACCCGAAGAAAGCCGATGTGATTGTACGCGACCCGGACAGTGGAGAGACTTGGATCACAGACACGACTATCACCGACCCTGTGCTGCAGAACCGGGACCCCACAGCCCGCAAACCCCCAGGCTGGGCTGCTAGAGAGGCACAGAGGCGGAAGGAGAGGGAGTACTACCGACACACGGAACACGTGGTGTTCTGCGCCCTAGCCGTCGAGACCTACGGGGCAAACGCGCCCACCACGACTGCGTTCCTGAAGCTGCTGGCCACAGCAGCAGCTAGGAACCGGTTCAGGGCCAACCCCCGGGCGAAATCGGCCAAGAAGATGGCCTGCCACTTCAGCCAGCGCTGGTCAGTGGCCCTCCAGCGCTCCCAGGCGAATGCCCTGCACACCAAGGCCAGGGCTGGGATCGAGGCAGCGCACCCCCAGATGGCAGCGGACCCCTGGCCGCTGCACCTGGGGGACATCCTCCACACGCTGGAGGGCTAGAGGGTCACTCAGGGGGGAGTGAAGAGTGGTGAGTTTTGGGGCTTAAGGGATGGAAGTTATCATGGATAGCACCGCATGTTTGTACCCCTGCTGAATTAATACAAAGGACCGTTTGAGAGAGAGAGAGAGAGAGAGAGAGAGAGAGAGAGAGAGAGAGAGAGAGAGAGAGAGAGAGAGAGAGAGAGAGAGAGAGAGAGAGGACTTCGCACCCAGCCCTCTTCCTCTTCCCTCGGCCCTCTTCCTCTGAGCCTATTTAAGGGCCCTTGGTGCCTTCTTCTCCTCATTATTTCGTGTGTTCTCAGTTTTCCGCGGCTGGAGAGAGCGAGAGAGAGAGAGGACTTAGCACCCAGCCCTCTTCCTCTTCCCTCGACCCTCTTCCTCTAAGCCTATTTAAGGGCCCTTGGTGCCTTCTTCTCCTCATTATTTCGTGTGTTCTCAGTTTTCCGCGGCTCGCGCCGGCGGCCTTCGGCCGCGCGTTTCTGGTGGCAAGACACAAAACGGAGGATCGGCTTATATAGGGCACACACACACACAAAGGCAAGGAGCTGGGCAGGAGCAAGAGGCGCGGCATGCAATTCTACACACGGCGGAGGCCTACATCGTGTACGGCTCCGCCCCCTCCACCTCAAGCATCGAGCGCATGCACGCCGACAACGCAAGAAGGAGATGCGCCGACGACTGGAGCGTGTCCAAGGGGGTCCCGGCTTGAGCAGCCCCTACAAGATCCCCCACGTGGCGGGGGAAAGTACGGGCTAAGGGAGCTACCCCGGCGGGCGCGTCCGACACGGGTGCCAACGGCGACTCGAGTGATTCTGCCAAAGTCACGCAGGATCCTCGGGTCCCTGGACCAAAACTGCTCGAAAAGCTCCTCGTGGCCCCACACACCGCCAGCTGCAAGTTCGCCACCACCTCGCACGCCTCCGCCAGATTCAGAACCCGGCACATGGTCAGCATGGGGTCTCTCCCCGCGCGAGTGGGGAGAGGTGCAGTCTGCGCTTCGCGCGGAAACGCCGCCGGCCAGCCAGGAGTCCGGCCAACAGCCAAGCGCGGCACAGAGAAGCCGGGAACCTGACGGGGGGTGCGGAACTGACCCCCGCGCGCGGGCTGATACTCACGCAGCATCGGCGCACGCAGAGGAGCGACCTGGCTGGCCTGGGTCCGCGGCGAAGGGGGACCGTTGGTCACCTCAATATGGACGTGAGTCGGCGCCCCACTCGCCCGGGCCTGCCTCACCACCTCCACGAACGTGTCCGCAGCATGATCGAGGGCTGGATCAGGCTGGTTGCCATTCCCGCCTCGCCCTCCGCCCTTCCGCCAGCCCCGCCGTCCCCCGGAACCAGCCGAATGTGGACGCGGGGGGGACTGCTCGCGGCGACCCGAATCCCAGCGACGACCAGGCGACCCCCTCCCCCGCGTCGCCGGAGATCGCGGAGGAGAACGTTGCGCGGGGGATCGCGCTCGCGGTGAGCGCTGGCCTGCCTGACCACGAGGGGATGGGCGGCGAGAAGAGCGAGGACGTGCAGGAGAACGCTTACCCCCCTCCCCGCGCTGATAGTGCTCGCGACGCTCAGGAGAAGGGCGGCGAGGAGAGGGCGGCTGTTGAGTGAGGGTGCCGCAGAGGCGAGCACCCGCGCTCCTGCCGCGGCTGACCGTCCGGGCGGTTCGACGCAACACGAGCAGGCGCCCACGAATACTCCGGCGAGGCGGGGCGCGCGGCAGGACGATGGGGAAGCGTTTGAACCCGCTCGAAGTGGTGCACGAGCTCGCTCGCGGAGGGGTGCGCAGGGAGACGCGGACGAGGCCCGGCAGGCGCAGCGTAGTTCTCTCTCTCAAACGGTCCTTTGTATTGATTCAGCAGGGGTACAAAACATGCAGTGCAATCCATGATAACCTCCTTCCCTTAAGCCCCTTAGCTCACCCCTCTTCCCCCCCCCCCCCCTGCGTGACCCTCTAGCCCTCCAGCGTGTGGAGGATGTCCCCCAGGTGCAGTGGCCAGGGGTCCGCTGCCATCTGGGGGTGCGCTGCCTCGATCCCAGCCCTGGCCCTGGTGTGCAGGGCATTCGCCTGGGAGCGCTGGAGGGCCACTGACCAGCGCTGGCTGAAGTGGCAGGCCATCTTCTTGGCCAATTTGGCCAAGGGGTTGGCCCTGAACCTGCTCCTAGCCGCTGCTGTGGCCAGCAGCTTAAGGAACGCTGTCGTGGGGGGCGCGTTTGCTCCGTACGTCTCGACGGCCAGGGCGCAGAACACCACGTGTTCGTTGTGCCGGTAGTAATCCCTTTCCTTCCGCCTCTGTGCCTCCCTTGCAACCCAGCCTGGGGGTTTGCGGGCTGTGGGGTCCCGGTTCTGTAGCACAGGGTCGGTGATAGTCGTGTCTGTGATCCAGGTCTCTCCACTGTCTGGGTCACGCACGATCACATCGGCCTTCTTCGGGTCATCCGGTGGTGAGTACATTGCATTCTCCAGGTATACCACCTGCTGCGCCTCCCTCGCCATTTTTGCCACGGCAAAGGCCAGTTGGTTGTGTGTGCGCGTTCTGTCCGGGCCTCTGCTGCAGCGGAGTAGGTGGTTGGGTAGGTTGCAGTCGGCCACGAGCTCTCCACACTCGCACACGGTAGGTATGTTCTGTCGGATGCCCATGCGGAAGGCCAGGGCTGTTCGGAATTGCCCTGGTGAGAAGCAGAGGTCTGGGGTCAGGGGTAGGGCTTGCATGCAGCCATGCTCCCGCTCCCTCGCCTCTCAGGCTGATGAGGCGGAGCGTGTGGCCCATCTCGGGGGCTGACCTGATTGAGCGTGATTCCTCTGTCAGGGTGTCAGCCTTTGCCGCGTGCACTTCCTGAGAGAGGGCCCGCTGCAGCTGGTCTTGGGACGGGGTTTCTTGCTCCTCACGGAGGTATTGCAGCGCCAGCGGCGGCAGTCGTCCCTCCATGTCTTGGATGGTGACTGAGTGTGCCGCAGACGGCTGCAGGGCGTTGCTGTTGCTCCCTAGCGCCGCGGTTGCTGGCAGGTAGAGTGAGCGGAGCAGGCGTAGTGCCTCTGTCGTTGAGGCCAGGTAGGCTGGTGCTGCTTCTGTTGTGGGATCTGTGAGGCCCCAGTCCACCTAGGGCCACTGGGAGGGTTGCTTGGCAGATGAGAAAATTGAACTCGGCTTCGCGGCGGGGTGGTTGGATGCTGGCGGCAGTCAGGGCGGTGAGCAGTTCGGCGCACCACGCGTGCCATTCCGAGAGGGGAAGGACATCCGCTGGGGTGGTGCGCAGCAAGTAGCTGATTCTGCGGCTGATGCAGCGGGACAGGAGCAGGAGGGCGTGCTGTGGATGGATGGATGCTAGGGAGCCCAGGGGTGCCGCCGCGTCTGTCAGAGTACTGCGGACCAGGTCAGCGCAGAAGCGCTGTGACCCCACGGGACTTCCCAACACCCGTACCCCCTCATGGGTGAGTGGGAGGCCCTCGGGGAGCTCGTCACCCTCAATGGGCGTCGTGGACCACGCCGACGATTTTCTGAGGTTGCAGGTGAGGCCATCCTGTGCGAGCAGCGGCTTCAGCAACTTAAGCGCGCCGAGCGTTGCTGTCGCCGATCCGATGATGGTGATGTCATCTGCGTATGCTAGGATCATGACTTCTGGGTGCTCTGCTGCTGTGCGTCTGAGGTGCTGCTGGATTGATGCCGCGAACAGCAGGGGTCCGAGGGGGTCCCCCTGCCTCACCCCCCTTCCGCTGGTAAGTGCCGTCGTGCTCAAGCGGGGATCGGTCAGCAGCTGAGAAGGCGTTGTGTAGAAGGAGCGGGTGAAAGGTATGAGCGGTGCTAGCGGGGTGTTGGCGAGTGTGTTGAAGAACGCTTTCCTCTCTACGAAGTTGAAAGCGTTTTCAATGTCGAGTTGGAGGACTGGGCTGGAAGGTTGTGAAGAGGTGAGGTCTCTGACTGCATGTATAACGAACTCAGCTCCGCCTGGGACTGCCACACCGAATTGTTGGGGTAAGAAAAATCGCCTTGTTTCTCCTTGCAGTTCCGAGAGTGCCACCTTTGCTGCCAACCGGAGTAGGGATTCCCCTATTGCAATAGGGCGTACCCCCCCCCCTGGTTTCGCAAAGGCAATGAGGCGGGATGGCGAGAGTAGTGCTGCAACCTCGATGGAAAGATTCGTGGAGAGAAGATGTGTTACGGCGGAGTGTAGGTGCCCCAGCACTTCGATGTTGCTTAGGGCTGGGTCGCGGTAGTGTTCAAATGTTGACCCGGATGGACCAGCCCCAACTCCGTTGGGGCAATCCCCAAGGACGTCTGAGAAACTTTCCGCGGTGCACGAAAATTGCGTGGGTGTTGTGTAGGTGTGGACCCAGTCGGGCAGCTCAACTTGGGATTGGGGATGTTTCAATTCCAACTGCTGCAATGTTGCGATCGTCGCAGGGGCCGCTGGCGAGGGTGAAAGGGCTGCCAACGCTTTTCGCAAGTTACCCCGTTTCACCAACCCCTCCACACGTGAGCAGATTCCCAGGGGGTCGTTTTGGTGCTGAGGTGGCTCAGCTTGGTGTAGGGACCCCACGTAGTCACTGTAGAGCTGGTTCCAGTGGCCACATCTGAATAGGTGCATCTGCTCTCGCAGCACCTTCCACTTAGAGCTAGACCTCTTGCTAAGTCGTAAGGTGAGACGTGGCAGGAACATGAGGACCCGCCACGCTCCCGCGCAGTTGGGCAGTTTGGAGATCCGTAAGAGGGCGGCCAGCATACAGGTGGAGTAGTCGCTTAGTATCTGCGGCAGCAGGCGGCGGACAATAGGCAGGTGGGTGGTTGACGTTAGGGTTGAAGAGTCCCAGCTCGTCGCGATCTCAAAGAGATCCTCCCTCGATGCCAGCTGGGACGCTGACAGGGCTTGGTCCGGAGGGGGTTGGGGTCTGCGGTTCTGTCGGCGTCTAGAATCCCTCTCCTGCTGCTGCGCCTGGTCCTCCCCCGCTTCCGCGAGAGGTGAGTCGAGGTTGTCGGGTTGCCTCAGATCTGACGGTACATATTCGTCGCCGCTCCCTTCTGCGTTTCTATCACCGATTCTCATTGCTTGCGCTGTCGTTCCCCCTCTCCCCCCACGTCTAGCAAACGACTGGCGCGTGACTCGTTCCGCCGGCTCCCCCAACCAGATTGGGCTCGGTAGTTGGCGCGGATTCCCCCTCGCCGCTTGGCCTGCACTCCGCTGTCCTCCGCGCGCTCCTCAACCCCCGCCTCTCCCCCGCGTGCTTCCCCGTCCGCTCCTCGGAGTGGCTGCCACAGGTGCCGCCTGTTGCGCCTGGGAGATCGGCGTCGTCGGCTCCTCTTGTGGCAGTGGAGCGCCCTGAGCGCTCGCTGATGGATTTCCTCGGCGCTCTGGGCCGCGACTGCACCGCGGAGAGCGATCCCGCTCCTGGTTGGGCGGCTAGGGCGGCAGCTGCTCGGAAGGAGGAGAAATATGCGGGACGGAATGCGTGGGTGGGGTTCCACGCCTTGGCCGTGGAAACCTACGGCTACCCGTCGCCGGGGGTACTGGCTTACCTGCGGCAGTGCGCGGAGCTGGCTGCGAAGCTCCGCTACAACGCGGCCCTACCTCTCGAGAGGCTGCCAAGCTGCTGACAGAGTACCGCCAGCGCTGGAGCGTGTGCCTCCAGAGGGCACAGGCAAATGCCCTCCGCACCAAGACCAACGAGGCCCTAGAGGCGGACGAGCTCAGCCTGCAAGGGCCGTGGGCCCCTCTCAACGAGGGGCAGCTGCACCAGCTGATCGAGCCCCCGTCCGACCACTAGGGTCGGACAGCGGGGGGAGGGGAGGGGAGTAGGTGATGGTTGATAGGTCTGCTTGTTTGCCTAGTTTGCATGTGTCTGCTTCAAACCTTTGTACCACCCTTCAGCTAATACACGGGCCATTCGAGAGAGAGGGTGGCGCAGCTGGTGGTATACCTGGAGAATGCGATGTACTCACCACCGGATGACCCGAAGAAGGCCGATGTGATCGTGCGTGACCCAGACAGTGGAGAGACCTGGATCACAGACACGACTATCACCGACCCTGTGCTACAGAACCGGGACCCCACAGCCCGCAAACCCCCAGGCTGGGTTGCAAGGGAGGCACAGAGGCGGAAGGAAAGGGATTACTACCGGCACACCAAACACGTGGTGTTCTGCGCCCTGGCCGTCGAGACATACGGGGCAAACGCGCCCCCCACGACAACGTTCCTTAAGCTGCTGGCCACAGCAGCGGCTAGGAACAGGTTCAGGGCCAATCCCTTCGCCAAATCGGCCAAGAAGATGGCCTGCCACTTCAGCCAGCGCTGGTCAGTGGCCCTCCAGCGCTCCCAGGCGAATGCCCTGCACACCAAGGCCAGGGCTGGGATTGAGGCAGCACACCCCCAGATGGCAGCGGACCCATGGCCGCTGCACCTGGGGGACATCCTCCACACGCTGGAGGGCTAGAGGGTCACTCAGGGGGGAGGGGAGGGGAAGAGGGGTGAGTTGATGGGCTTATGGGATAGAGGTTATCATGGATAGAACTGCATGCCTGTACCCCTGCTGAATTAATACAGCGGACCATTTGAGAGAGAGAGAGAGAGAGAGAGAGAGAGAGAGAGAGAGAGAGAGAGAGAGAGAGAGAGAGAGA